AAGCTTGTTGAGTCCGTAGCTGGTTCGCGCGTTTATTTTTGTTTGTGCGTGTGTTCGTTCCTTCGTTTGTTTGTTTGTTGTATGTTCGTTCATCTGTTTGTTCTTGATTCGGTTTTTTGTCATTTTATGGATAATTATGAGTCAACAGTTTCACTTAGCATTAGCCATTACATCTTGGTTACCGTTTTATTGATCATCGTCAATAATCATCACATTCATCATTTTCATCGTCCTCATCATCACCACCACATTCATCATTGTCGTCGTCGTCATAATCATTGACAGAGGCCCTGAAAGACGTTAAACCACGAAATTGGGTGTTATCAGATGAATACCTGGAATACCTTCTTCAGGTATCAGCAACTGAGTCGTATGTGTGGAACCCGGATAGCAACTATTTCCTCAAGATCGTCAAACAACTCGTTGAAAGTTTGTGTTGGTGTTTTAATTAACAATTTCTCTGTGTTTTTTTTTTATTTTCGGCCGTTTCTCTCATAACTTTGCAGCTAATAAATAACCAATCACGTCATTCGTTGCAATCGATCAACCAATCGCGTCACTTGTAACAACCCACCAACCAATGAAATTGCAGCCATAAAGGGTAATACACCGTACATCAACGTTGATTGGCGGTTCAATGAATTCTCTAATCCGTCCATGCACTGTTTGGCAAGTACAGCCGTCGAATTATTGAGCCTGCCACTTCCGGGGACTGAAGTAGGGATGTGCATATATAATGTTATTTTAAAGAGGTCAGTAATTTATTTATTTTTTTTTTTTGTTTTTTAAATAAAAAATTTCTTCACTTTTGTCTGTTTTTAATAATTTTAAATTTGATTTTTAATTATTTCAAGATGTATATTTAACTAAATTGGCAGCTACATAAAGATCCCGCGTTCCGAGATCATGTCCTATTTCAATGCCATTGGTCTCATCGTCACCACCCTACCTGTAAGCTGCTAATGACATTTTGTAGTTTTCTTTCTTCATTTATATAGTCATTCTTTCTCTTTCTTCGTTTCTTTCTCTCTTTGTTTTCTTCTCTCTCATTCTGCACCCTCTCTTCTTGCTTCCTGTGTACTACTGACTTCTGGTCTGTCTGTTTGCTTATCTCTTTTACTTTGTCTTTCTCTCATTTTTTCTCTCACTCTCTCTTTCCTTTTTTTATGTTTTTCGTATTTTTCATTCTTTTTCTTTTCATCTTTCTTACTTTCCATTAATAAATTACAATTAGTCAATAGATCAGCAGTGAATATTCTATTGTGAATGTCTTTTCCATATTTAATTGCTATTATTTCGTGGTGGTTGATCGATTTACAAAGTTAAATAATGAAAGTTAATCACCGCTATCTCGCAACCATACACACGCACACACCCGCACAGGAAAGTTACTGGAGTGTCCTGTTCGACGTCATCGTTGACGTCATGAACGTCGAACTTCGCAACTACAGCAGCAGCAGTGGCGATTGTGGCGTCGGCAACAATACGCAACTGAAGAACAACAGGCTTCTCCAGATGTTCAATTTCGTCCCCACTCACCAGGTGGCAGGCGAGACGAGAGTATCTTACGTTTTGGCGATGTGTCACGCCGTCTTTCAACACGCCAGCATCACTCAATTGTACAAGTTGATCGTGTATGTTCTTTCATTTGTTTTTATTTTTCTACCTCTGTGTGTGTGTGCATGTGTGTGTGTGTGTGTGTGTGTGTGTGTGTGTGTGTGTGTGTGTGTGTGTGTGTGTCTGTGCGTGTGTGCCTGGGTGTCTGCGTGGTATGTGAATGAAAGAGTAATGGACTGAATAAATAAATGGTTGAATGAGTGAATAAATGAAAGAGTAAATAAATAGAAGAATTATTGACTAAGCTAATAAAATAAAAAATTTTTTATTGAGAGAGAGAGAGAGTGAGTGAGAGAGAGAGAGAGAGAGAGAGAGAGAGAGAGAGAAATTGAAGCAGCGTTGTCTGCAAGAATAATTATTAAATTAATGAGACTGAATGAACGAATAAACTAACGAATGAGTGTATGATGGACTGAATAAATAAACAAACGAATGAATGAATGAGTGTTTGATGGACTGAATGAACAAATAAACGAGTAGATAAACGAACAAAATATATATATCTCAAAAGTTTCATGAGAGAGAGGTTGAAACCGTTGATGTCGACAGAGGCGCAATACCTCTTTACATGCCACCTGGTCGGTCCATTCCTACAGAGGTTCCATTCTGAGAGGAGCAGATGCATGCTGGAGGTACGTGGTGATCGTGGTGGTGGTGATGTTAATTGGGGTGGTTGAAGATTACTGATGCTGGCGATATCGATGATGAGGATGATGATATTCATAATGAGGATGATGATGTTCATAATGATGAAGATGATTCGAATGATAGTGATGATATATTGATGCTCATGACATTGATGATTAAAATTATGATGATGACAAATGATAACAATAAAGATAACAAATGATATTAACAACAGCTAACAGTCGAATTGTACGAATTGCTGGATAGATTGGACAAATCTGCCGAACATGTGCACCATGCAGATGAAATCTCTGATTTCCTGTTTGTAATTTTAGCCCAGGGATTTTTGACTGGCAATTTTTAGCTTGGATTTTTTTTTAGTTTGAATAGTTATAGCTCGTGGTTGTATCTGTCTATATATTTTTAGTTTTGGGTTTTTTTGGTCTGAGAATTTTTAGTTTGTGGATATTTTGTAGTACAATTGAATGTTTTGATTGATTTTTTTTATATAAGATTATTTTGATTTACGATTTTAATTTGATGTATTTATTATTTAAACTTTGCTTGAGCGTTTATTCGTAGCTTGGTAATTTGTGTATCGTTGTTAACCGTAACTAGGTACCACATAAAATACATGTTCGTTGGAGATGGTGTAAAGTCCGAAGTCGAGAGGATTATCAAAGGTTCGTTTCAATTCAATAAGATTTTTTAAAAATTATGAACATCTTGGAACAAAATGAAACATTTACAATACCGTATAATAACTTTTATTTGGTGATAGTCTTTAATAATAAGTTGACTGTCTCACGCATAAACAGGTCTAAGACCAGCACTTCAACTTAGATTGAAGTTCATATCATACTACAGCAAGGAGGAATCTTCACAGCAGCAGCAACAACAGCAACAACAACTTCAGCAGCAACAGCAGCAGCAACAGCAGCAGCAACAACTTCAGCAGCAACAAATAGTTTTGCAGCAACAACAACAACATTTCCAACAACATCAACAACAACAATCACTACAGCAATTACATCATCAACATTTGCAACAACAACTCCAACAACAACAACAGCAGCAACAGCAACATCATCATTAATAGAAATTAAAAATGTTTAGTCAACATTTTCTTAATATGACGTCTTTACGTTATAATGATCTAGTTTTGAATTTTTATTAATTTGAACTGACTGTGAAAGAGAAATTTGATTGGCCATTGATTTAACTATTGCTTAATAAGTTTGTTTCATTTTTAGTCACCTATATCTGTTATGGGTGACTTTAATGCTCTTAATACCATTGAAATTATCATTTTATGTACTTTAAATTTATATTATCAATCAATCAATCATAGTTTATTTGATCTTCATATAAAGCTTTTTTTAATGTTATGTTGTATATTTCTGTGCTTCATAGTTTTTCCTTAAAAAACATGCTAGATTATTTTACTAAAAGTATTTTAAATGTAAATATTTTTATTTATATGATAGGTTTGATCGGGGTCATGAACAATTTTTCAAGTTATAATGTTGAATAATCGGTGTAGCATCTATGATTTCGTAGTTCTTTGGGTTTTAATTTGTTTACAAACAGTGGTAGCGTGGCGATAATATAGCATGGAAGTGTGCGTTGACTGCATAGACTCAGCTGTTGAGGCAGAGTGTGGGGGCGCGAAGAGGGTTGAACTCTGCAGTTCGCTCATATCTGGGGGTCTCACCCCATCTCTGGGGCTCTTGCTAACTGTCAAAAAGTTGATCAAGATCCCAGTTTTTGTGATGGTCCGGGCCAGGGAGGGCGATTTCAATTATTCCCGATACGAACTGGATTGCATGCTGATCGACGCGAAACTTCTGAAAGATAATGGAGCTGATGGTTTTGTGTTTGGATGTTTGAGACCTGACGGAAGCATCGATGTTGAATGCTGCCAGGAACTGATTGATGTTTGCAAGCCCCACCCACTGACATTCCATCGAGCAATTGACGTAAGTTCAAATCCTGTCAGCAATTTGAAAATTCTCATATCATTGGGGTTTGACAGGGTCTTGACATCCGGTGGTGAATATACTGCTCTTGAAGGTATAATTTGTTGTTTGCTCTTGCATCATATTTTCACATAGTTATGCTTATAATTATATTTACAAATGATTTTACTATGTTTTAATAAAAAATGTTTGATGGGTAACATTTTGTTGAAGGATCTCCAGTTATCAAAGAGATGGTGCAACATTTTGGAAATGAGATCATCGTCGTGCCAGGTGGGGGTGTATCAGAAACAAATCTTCAACGAATACTCGATGAGACAGATGCCAAGGAATTCCATGCTTCAGCCACCAATCTCAAAATCTCATCTATGACCTACACAAACCAATCTGTATCTATGACGTCATCCTCGTACAACAGCCACCATACCAGTGAATATGCAAGGAAGGTTTGTGACAGGAACAGAGTGAAGGCCATGGTGAGAATTTGTAATGGTGGATTGTAAGACAGGCTAACTTTTCAATTTCATTTCTTTCTGACTGCAATTTTATGTTTTGTATTTAACATACAAAATTTCTGTTTCTACATTTTGTCCTGGTATTAATTGAACAGTACCAAGAAGATAAGTGAGTCTTATACCAGGTATTTGTGGATATCATTTTGACAGTTCATGACTAACTGTTGATGTTTTATTAGTGTTACTGGTGTGTTTGTTTGCAATTTGCATATCTACCTTTTGTATTTAGAATAAATAACTTAAAAATGCCAAAATAAATTTCAACATTCTTTTTTATTCTTTTTTAAGTAAACAAAAAGATAAAAATTAAACTCAGTAAGAAAATTTACAAAAATATGAAAATAAAGGTTTGATATATTGCACAAATTTTCAAAAATAAAATGAATAAAAATAAAAAGTATGAATGAATAAAAAGGTAAAATTCAAGACTTTAGTGTTCAGACTTGGAAGCCAGGAAATTTGGCTTCTTTTGGTTTCAAGAGATCAGCTAAGAAATATATGGTTCCGGCCATCCCTGTTAAATTTTAATTGAATTTTTAAAATTATTTTATTATTCCTTTATTTATCTATGTATATGTCTGTCTCTTTGTCTGTTTGGACATCTGTCTATCACATCATAGATTACATAATAAAATATCCATTAAATTAATTTATTCCACGTAAGTCAGTACAAACTGGCAAGGATCACAAATGTAGACATTTATAATTTTTTACCCAACTGAACAAGAAATTTTAGCAAATATTTTAGTTTTATTTGTGAATTTATGTAAACTTGATTAAAAAGTTTATTAGAGCTGATTGGTCGATTTGTTTGTTGAAAATTTATGAGTAGAATTTGATAATTTATGAGTAGAATTGAACTAACCTTCATAGAGTGAGAATGGTCTGTCAGGTGTCCTGGCTCCATGCTTTCCATAATCCAAGCACCATTCTCCAAACTATTTCCAGTTCATATTTTCAATTATTACATTAACAATGAGTTAAGCAGCAATAAAAATAGACAAATTATTTATGTCAGTAAAACGCTGACACATTCAAATAGATATAACAATTAATTAGCTACGTTATCAGAAACAAACAAACTGCAACTGTAACAAATTAAAAAACAAATTCTGCTTACCTTGATGGCTCTGTAGAGGTACTTGGGGTTTTCTGTGGCGTTGTAGAGAGCAAGGAAGCAGTAGGCATTGCCAGCAGTACCATGGCACAAGCCATAACCTTTCTTTAGCAGCCCCCTCTCCCAGGTTGTTTTCCCACACTCTTTTGCTGTCCTCAGGTATACTGGTTCATCAAATATCTATCAAATAATGATTTCAGGATACTACATTTTCCGAAAAACACAGCACAAAGTCATTTGTTGTTAGATGTGACAGTTGTTAGAAATGTGAACCAAGGATAGTTTGTGCTGTACATTTTGATTATTAAATTTTAAATAGGACTGACCTGATGGGCAGAAAGTAGCATGTATATCCAACCAGGTGCTCCATGGCACCACTGGACCAATTTGTCCTCTGATGACTCGAGGGATGATGGAAAGTTGCCTGTAAACAAAGTTTTTTTAAAAAAATATTTAATGTAACGGGGCTAAATATTCGTGATAAGTTTGAGAATGAGGTTGAATGAGAGGCCTAGGTGAGTTCAATACTGTCGCAATTCAGCTCAACTGCAGTAATATTTTTTATTAAAAATCTATAGAATAATACAATTCAACCAGAAATAAGTTAAATCAACCCGTAGGGTATTTCAATGTTATCAAGTAGTCAATGGTTGGCTTGATGAGGTCATTCATGTGCTTCACTATATACGGATCATCTTTTACCTGATTGGTTGGTTGTTTGTTTTTTTTGTTTGTTAAATATTTAAAATAGATTTGAAAAAGAGAGGAAGGGAGAGAGAGAGAGAGAGAGAGTCCAAATTCCAAAAGTACTAACACACAAGAGCATGTATATGATGCCAGATATGCCATGAGCAGCTCCGAGATACCTCTTATTATGCCACTGATACATCAGGGGTGGCTCCCCTCCATCTGCTTGGCCCCTAGACTGTCCACTTCTTAAGATTAGTTTAGTCAGCTGGAAATATTTTGGCAGAGTTTATTCATGAATTGTATAAGTTTTAAACGATCTTCATGTTTTATAGAAAAAATGCAGGCAAATAGATAAAATTTAGAATGTGAAATTAGTTATAAAAACTTTTAATTTAGTGCATACAAAAATTATTTAGGTAATATTTTGTATTCAGTTAGTTAAGAAAGTATTCAAATGAAAAAATATTATAGAATAAAACAAAGGACCTTCATAATCATGGAATCTAAGATGCGCTCATGTCCAAAATGTTTCCTTAGGAAGAGGAGAGCATAGAGGACTCCACTCTTTCCATACAGAATTTCATCAGGCTCATCATAATCTTCATCTATCTTCTCAAACAAATCCATAAACCTATTCAATCAATTCATTGTATTAGTAATCAAATAGGATTTTTATGAATGATTACATGCTGAAAATACATCAAATGAGAGCTGATAAAAATATTTCAGCAATTTAAACATTCATCTATTATTTCTGAGACACAAATGAAAACTCATCTAAAGACCAAATACCAATTAATTACTTTTACAAAAATCTTAGACACCAACTGCAAGACTAAAATATGATGACCCAACAGCCAGTGACTAACTTTTTCAAACACTTTTCAGACTCATCCTGCTTCTTATCAGCTTTGAAGATGATGGCACCGACACAGTAAGGACCAGCATCCCCTGCAATGAATGATGGTGCACGATTCTTTATGTGCTTCATTGTCTTCTTCATTATTTCCACAGATTTTGTAAGAAAAGCCTGCTTGGTCTTCTGATCAACATCGTAATTCTTGTACAGGTGGTAATATAAGTAAGCTACTCCTGAATGTGAATTATAGTGCATTATTCATTTTTAATAAAAAGTAATTAAAAAATTAAAAATTAGGATGTCAAATTGAAATGACATTTATATGTAAATCTAGAAAGATTAAAGTAAAATCAGTTCTTTGCAGTACATTACTTATAACTACAGTGTTTTTGGCATTGTTTAACATGATTATCAAGTTTAATTCTTAACTTTCAAAAAAATTATATAAAATACCAAAAATAAATGAAAATACCAGAAGATCCAGTATAAATAGAAGGATCATTCCAGTCAATATGGTACTCGACTTCCAACACAGCCAGCAAATTTTGGATCTGTTTGCGTATGCGAGCTTCCAAAGATTCATCCAATTTCTTAAAAAAATGTACACAAAATATGGATGAATTAAAGTTTAAATTAATTAAATCCATCACTAACTAAATAAAATAAATTAATTAAAAACTATTCAATGGATTGGATAGGTAAACGTAAAATAAAGGCAGAAATAAATTACAAATAAAATTAATTATTACTAAATAAAATTAAGAATAAGCAGCAAAATTATTTTTAAATTAAAATTACAAATTACCTCTAGACCAAAATTTTTACTGTATAATATAATTATAATATAACAACTAATAAAGTAACTTAAGTTAATCTATTCTAAAAATTCTAAGAAAGACAAGTACTCACCCCGTCAGTATATGATTCGGCAGACGCAGAGCCAGAAGTCCTCAAGAGCCTCGCGGTGCCGGCAGCATGGGCAGAGGGAGACTCTTGGTAATCCGGAAAAGAATTTATAAATTCTCTCGAATATTTCGAAGAACTGGCCATTGAAGACTTCTAAAACAAAAAAAAACGTCAAAAAACAAAATTGTGAAAGAAACAAGATCGGCGTTGAGAAATTCTAAAATTTAAATATTGAAGCCGGTTTCGCTATTTATTTTCGAAAACGAAACTTAATGACGAAATAAATAATTGGACTGACTAACATCCCATTTTTTTTTTTTAATTATTTGCTGCTCTACCACGAAATTTTATTTCGAATAAGCTTGAAAAAACTATCACAAAACAAATAATGATGTAAATTTAGGCACTAATGCTTCAAGAATGTTTACCATCGAGTTAATTATAAAATGACGCAGACGCCAGCAAATCCGTCTTATTCAGATTATTACTCATTCACTTTAGTGGCAAAAATCATAAGAAAATATCAATAGAACAAACATGAACAATGAAACAAATGTTTTTTTACACGTTATTTATATTTAATATCATATATATCCAACAATTTCAATTAAGAAATATGTGCTACATTACGACATATGTGGCGAAACCTTTTGCTTTTTTTGTTTCTTGTCCATGAATTTCATTCAAATTGTAAAAAATTAAGCAATAAGTTGAAGAAAATATAAATAATTCACGGTCAGATTTATTTACAAAGAAGAAATAATCTGCAAACAACAAAAGGTTGGTAAATATACAACAAATGAAAAACTGTTTAAACTAAAACTCAATTATATTTCAAACGCAGGGAACTTGGCATATTTGGGATGCATGACGTTCATTAGGAAGTATATAGTACCTGCCATTCCTTTGGAAAATATAAAAAGTGAATTTAATTGAGAATATATTGAAGCAAATTATGTTAAATCACTAAGACTTTGTTAAAGTCACAATTACCTCTAATCACCCCATCATCTCTTCTCACTCATCAAATAGTGTAACTAACTTCGTTCATCATCAACACTAACAATACGAATATTAAGCAACAAGTTTGGCAAAAACAACAAAACAAAACATCACTAACCTTCAAACAGTGAATAAGGAGTGTCGGCAATTCTACAGCCATGCTTGCCATATTCAAAGATGAACTCTGCAAACTATAAAAATAATTACTGATTTATTTGGCAAGAAATACAATACCAAACAATACAGAATAATATAACACCATACGACACGCTACAATGCACTGCGATACAATACAGTGCAATACAAAACAATACCAAACGATACAATAAAATATACAAACTTTTAGTGCTCTATGGAGATGTTTCTCTTTATTAGTAGCATTGTACAATGCCAAGAAACAAAATGCGTTACCTAGTATGAAAGTAAAAAACTTAATGATAACAATAATAACAGTAATAACAATAATAATGACATTAAAAACAATAACAATAATAATACTAACAATTATAATAATAACAATAATAAATACGACAACAATAATAACGGCAAAAACAATAAAAATAACAATAAATAATAATAACAACAATAAAAACAACCCACCAGCGACGCCATGGCAGATACCGTAGCCCTTCTTGAGCAGACCTCTCTGCCAGACCACGTCCCCACACTCCTCTGCCGCCTGTAAGTACCTGGGACTGCCGAACGACTGAATGATTAGGTGAATGAGTAGGTGATGAAATGAATGAGCGACTGAATGGATGTGTGAATTGGTAGATGAGAAAATGAATGAACAATTGAATGAATGAATGAATGAATAAATGAACAAATGGAAGAATTAAGTAAATGAAAGGCTGAAAACCTTAACAAGCTACAGAAATTCAAAAATGAATGAATGAATAAACGAACGAACGAATGAATTAATTAATTAAATAATTAGTAATTGGGTGAATGAATGCAGAAGCGAACGAATCAACGGGTGAATGAATGAAAGAATGAAGAAATGAACAAACTTTATGAGCAGCTAGAAACATGTAGAGCCATCCAGGTGCGCCGTGACACCAATGCACCAACTCATCAACACTGTTGTCTTCTATGGCGGCTGGATAATTCCCTGATTATGATGATGATGATGGTGATGTTGATGATGTTGATGATGATGTTGATGATGACGATGATGGTGATGATGTTGATGATAATGGATATCACAGTAATAGTTATAGTAGCGACAGTGATGATAAATGCAGGGCTGATGATGATGATGATACCAGAAATAGCGATGATGATGATAGTGATGATGATAATGATTACCAGATGGATACTTGAGAGTCATGAGGTAATCAATGGTCTCCTTTATATCACTGTGCCAATGTAGAGATATCAAATTTCTATCTTTCAACTGTTTGTTGGTTGAAAAAGTAGACGGTCAGTCAACTGGTCAGTACTTTGGCCAGTGAGTGAGTGAGTGAGTCAGTCAGTCAGTTGGTCGTCTAGCCAGTTAGTCAGTCAGTCAATCAGACAGACAGACAATCAATCAATGTATCTATTAATCAATCAATTGATCAATCAATCAATCAAAGAATTATCTATAGCCAATCTATCAACTAATTAAAAAATTATTCAAATAGTTAATGGAGTAGTTGAGTGACAAAATGACAAAAAGTGACGGAACCTTAAGGAGCATGTACAAAATGCCTGTTATGCCATGTGCTGTCCCTGAATAAATTATAATTAATAATTACAATTAACAATTATCAATAATGAATAAGTCATAAATAATAAGTACAATTTTAATTACTTATTGATAGATAGAAAGATGGATAGATGGATAAAAAAGATGGAAAGATAGATAAAGAGATGGATAATTTGGTGAAAGAATGAATAAAGACAGAGAGATGGGATAAAAAAACAAACCCAGATATAGAGTGTTGTACCATTCATACATTAGCGGACATGGGAATTGGTGAGATTTTGCAAACCTGAGTGAGTGAATGTGTGAATGAATGAATGAGTGAATGAATGAATGAATGAAAAAATGAATGAATAAATGAATGAATGAATGAATAAATAAATGAGTGAATGAATGAATGAATAAATGAGTGAATGAATGAATGAATGAATGAATGAATGAATGAATGAGTGAATAAACACATAAATGACTGAGAGAAAGAATAAAGGATTGAGTGAAGATGATAACGATGCGATGCAATGGAGAAGATGATGACGATGATAATAGTGATGATAAAATACTTACATTTTCCCATTTGTGAGTATAACTTCACCTAGCTATATGAGAAAGATTAATTTGATACTACTTATAAAATACATTTTTAAATGGTATAAATATATAAATTACATTTAAATCAAAAAAAAAAACATAAAAATAGAATTAATTTTGAGAAATTAAAAATTTTAAAATTTTGTGATGAACAAGTCAAGTCACATATTGGAAGAAATACAATATACAGTATTTTACAATACAATATTTACAAGATCTACTATTTACAAAACCAGAGTAGAGTTGTAAAATCTTCGAAATTACTAAAAACTCTGAAATTATGGTGAGTTACAATGAGAAATACTAGATACAAAAAAAAATTGAAGTAAGAATCATAAACCTTAGCTAGTAAATTTGTATCAATACTTCCGAATCCAAGGTAACCCTCAACAAACATGAGTGAATACAAATAACCAGCCCTACCGTACAACAATTCGTTGGGGAGATTTGGTTCGTTTAGTGCTTTCTGGCATAGAGATAGGAGGCTGTTGTTGTTTTTTTGTTGTTGTTGTTTTTTTTAATTTTACAAGTTATTAGCAATGTTTTTGCTGTTTTACAGATGTTATTATTTTGTTCATTTTTTCATTTTTCATGTTATTAGCAATGTTTTAGCTGTTTTTCCATAAATTAAAAAAATAGACAAAAATGTTGGACCTTACCCATCCAAGCACTGTTCACTCTTAATGTTAATCCCGGCGTGATGGAACACGACAGTCCCAACCGCCATGGGTCCGGCATTCCCACAAAGGAATGTAACTTCTGATCCGTGCATGTGCTCCAGGGATTTGTTTAAATAACGCGTAGAAGTTTCAAGATAGTCTTGTTTTCGTTTTTCATCGTTCGTTAGTTTTTCATAGGCCTCGAAGTACAGTAATGCTAGACCTTTAAATGGTGCATTTGATATATATATATATATATACATTTTTTATACATATATAACGCATGTATATATATATATATATATATATATATATATATGTACATAATATAAATATATATGTAAGTATATAATGTATGAATATATGTATATATATATATATATATATATATATATATATATATATAAAGACACATTTAAGACTGGTATTACCAGCAGATCCTGTATATACAGAGAAATCATTCCACTGGGGCTTGTAGTTGTTCTCAAGATCAGATAGCAATTCATTGGCCTTTTTCTTTAAAGAATCTTTTATTTGCTGTCTCAATATTGACTTTAATTTGAACATTATATTTAGTTTAATATTTTAATATTAACTAAATAAATTATATTAAATTATATTTCTTATCTATAAACGAGAAAACAAAATCTAATTTAATGTCTATTTTGGCTTCAGTAATTGGTTTAAATGACATGTATGCATGCATATACAAAATGAACATTTTACAAAAATGGAAAACACAGAGACACAAGATGACAAGATTCAAATTAATGATACCATGTAAAATTATAAATATATAAAATAAATCAAAAATTGAAATGACACTAAAATCAATCAATCACTCAATTTATAAAGCGCATGAATTTTGCAAACAGATGGTTCTTGAGATCCACTCTGAACTTAGTAAGTGATGGAGAAAAAGTTGGAGAAGGAGAAAGATGTTAGAGAGTTTCAGAGAAAAAACACCAGTGAAAACAATAAAATAAATGAATAAATTTCTTTTTTAAAACATCGAATGAAAATAAATATAAAATTACTTTAAAGTTTATAAATAAATAATATTAAATGAAAAATAAAATCAACTTCGCTGACTGACATGTTCAGATGAATCAAGTAACTGTGAGGTGGATGAAGCAGAGCCATCATCACAATAATCTGAAAACTTATTGACAAAATGCCTGTGTGCCATTTTTTTATTTGTTAATATATTTGTTCTTTTTGTTTGTTATAAATTTGTATTAATTTATTGTCGTTTGCTCATTTAATTCACTATTTATTCACGAACAAATTAAACGAGAAAGAACAATCCCTCTTACAAATTATTATCTTGAAACAGTTCACTTTTAAAAACAGAAAAAGCATAAAAAACTTATTTTCAAAAAATTAACAACTTTTCTTCTTACTCGTGCCTTATCCTTTCAGGACATTGACGACCATCGACCTCCACAAAACCCGATCTTTAACACTTTGTAGTAGTTGATATGTGGTGATATTCAGCAGGTGACACAAGGACTTCACGATCTCTTTTCCCTGCAATCTTTCCAGTGGCTGTTAGATTTTCCATTCTTTCCTTCTACGCGATGTGATCAAAACACTTTAACTGCCACATTGTTTTTTAGGCAATGCAATAAATATTGACTTGAATAGATCTTCAGGAATTTCGCCGCTGTTATAAATCTCAAAAATCTCATTTATAACCACCTTTACTAATCCATAATCCATAAAAAATAATTCATAATCATATAGTATGTAGAATATAACTAATCCCATAAGAGAATGTTTGGGGCTGAATGTATCCTTATTCTTTTTTTTAATATGTTACGTTATAGTAGCTTGAATCGCGCATATACTTGTTTTGGAAATTAAGTGATACACATGGATACATAAATCTGGTTTGTTACAAACTACCAGCTTAATTCACTCTATCGGCGCCACAAGTTTGATGAAAATTTAGCTTTTTCTTTTTCAGAGTGTTGGTTGGTGTTTGTATTTTTTGTCAGCAAGATTTTGCAACCTGAGTTTAAAAATTTTGAGTTTGATTTTGTTGTTCATTACTGAGTTTGGTGTCGTGTTCGAGGGATTTTTCGCTGTTTGGACGGCTGGAGTGTTACCTGCGTTGTCTTTCATCAGCATCGTCGTCATCAGCACCATCATAATAATTAAATGCACTTTCTAAACCGAAAAATAATTGCATCATGTCACGTCAATTTCCTTTCCACAAATGATTGCAAACCAACATCGCAAATAAATGAAGGAACCAACCACACAGCATAATTTAGACACGTATCAACGTAAAAATTATTTTCATTCATTTCTGAATGTACTATACTTGATTGAATAAATTAATGTTAATTAATGCTAAAAGCTCAATTAAAAATGTATTATAAATATATATTTATTTCTGTATAATTATAAACTTTGTGTATATCTTTCTATATGTTTGCTTAATATTGCTGTATTTTTTGAAAAATAATTTTTGAAAATTTCAAAAAATATTTTTCATCAGTAAATTTTAAGTACTTTCGTATTTCTCAAATAATTTCTACAACTAGTATAGTAGATATATGGTATAGTAAATTTCTACAACATATATATATATATACGTTGTTAATACTGCCACTTCTCTTATTACCGCTTAATACCGCTACTATAGTTAGCGTTAAAACTGGTAGTACTATTACTAGACGACATTATTTTTACTACTACTGTTGGTGCTGCTTCTACTATATTTTATACTTAATTCTGAAGTTACTATATACATACATACAACGGCGTTAACGGGACCACTACTGCCTCATTACTACAGCTAAGGTTACTACTACTACCATTACAACAAATAAGATTAGTACTACTATCACTACTGCTACTTTGTTTGATTAGTAGCACTGCTGTAACGTTTATTGAATTGTCTTTGTCATCAATATGAATATTCGGAAGTTTATGGATGTTATATTCATCGTCACCAATGCCATGTTCATCAGCATTGTGGCTCTTATAATTAACGACGACAACAGTTTCAACACTACTCCTGTTCAAAACATTACCCTACAAATGTTTGCGGACAAAGAAATTGTCAACGTCTTACCGAGTGTTATTAATCTCAGTCAAGACGGAAATAATAATTTCACCATAAAATTTACAATTGGTAAAGGATTTCTACAAAATAATACAAAATTTAACCAATATCTCGACAAAATTCCTCAAAATTTCACAGCCGATGATGGTAACCTCCACTACAACGGCAGCGGGAATAACACTCTGCCTCCATCATCATCCATAACAACGCCCACAAAATACAACTTCCCAATCTTCATCACAAACAATATAATCGGAGTTTCAGGATTTTTCACTAACCTTTTCGTCATCGTCGTCATTTTTATGCACAAACCAATGCACAAACAGTTGATGAGTTACTACATTTTTGCTCAGAGCTTCATTGACGCACTGGTGGCTATCTCTTTGACTGGTACTACCCTCATTACAAATGATGGAAGTTGGATCCTGGTCCGGGGTAGATTTTGGGACGAGTTTGTTTGCAGGATTTGGTGTTCCAGAATGCCGTTGTGGAGTAGTTTGGTCTCTTCTATTTATGTTACTCTGGCTATTACTGTGGAGAGGTGAGGATGGTGATAAAGATGCTGATGACGATATTAAAGTCGGTGATCATATTTATTAAAGGTACATAGCCATTGTCCATCCTGTCTTTCATAGAAACAAGTTCTCTCAATCAAGAAAAATGACGATTGTTGTTATTGGTCAGTTTAATAATGCATGAATGGGTCGATAAATAAACAATATAACGTCACTAATTATTCACTTGATTAATTAATTAATTAATTAATTAATTAATCAGTCAATCGGTCATTCATTTAGTCAGTCGACCACCAATTCACTAATACACTCGCTCAACTGTTATTCATTCAATAAACCAATCAAATATTTCTTACAGGCATATCATTCCTTATAGGACCGATATTCACAATCGGTTATTTCATACCGACAGGCGAGGTCCTGAGTGACGGGAGATGTACCATGTTTTCTAACTGGAGTAGCGAATCGGCTAGAGTCGTATTCGGTAATCGTTTTATTTATTTAACCCATTCATTGTTTTTTTTTCATTTTTAAACAATGAAAAATATATAAATATTAATTAAGATATAATGACTTGTTTCAATAAAAATATACTAACACATGTGAACTATTCATCCGTACTAGCAAGCAAGCAACGTACGCAAACATACGCACACATACGCACTCGAATACACATAAATACACAGGATACATCAATTTGATTGTGGAATACTTTTTTCCATTGGTTCTCTCGGTTTACCTCTATTCAAGAATCGCTTTATCTTTGCACAAAAAAATTAAAGTTATTCCTTCTATAATAATAAATAATAATAATAACTGTCAAAATGATGAAAGTAGTTTGAGTAAAAATACTACTAATACCAAAGCTAGTACAGTTGATAACGCTGATGCTACTACTTCAAGGACAACTACTACAAGTACGACAACAACTACTACTACTACCACAACTACTACTACTAGTGATAATGATAATAATAGCAGTAATAAACATATCATCGACAATTGCAATAACAGCAAGTCATCGTCGTCGAGTGCCTACAGAGCTAGAGATAACGTATTGAAAACATCCTTGTCTATAACGATGAGCTTCATAGCATGCTGGACATTCAATCAATTATACTTCTTATTTTACAATCTGAAGATCATTTTCTTCGACTTTGATAATTTTTTTTATCATCTCTCGGTCCTGATGGCGTTCTCGAATTGCTGTGTTAATCCCGTCATATATCTGGTCAAATACGAACAGTTTCAGAAGGCTTTGAGGGCCTTGTTTTGTAAGAAAAACTGATGATGGCGATGATGATGAGAATGATGCTGATGGTATTGATGATAGGTTATGTTGATGATTGTAATAATAATAAAGCTGGCCGCAGCTGTCAAATTAATAAAATTTAAATTATTATATGTTAGTATATTTCGCTATTTATATGATTTTTACTGACTTTTAAAACAAGTACTGCCTTTCGGCTCCCTCACCCCTCTAGATTCGCCATTGATGATTAATATATCCGTGATTTAACATTTTATTTCCTACGTAAGAATAATAGTATTCTTGATCAAATTTCCAAAAGTATGTTATCGTTTAGTAAATTATTATCTCAAGTTGTTGTAACTAGAATAAAAATGAAACAATATTGATCATATCTGGACTTAATTTGCTCTCTATTAGCAATATTAATACTATTTTGTTTCCACTGAATAACAATTTCATATTGGGAGGTACCCTACTCGCAAAATAAAACTTTATCTTAGGCTGTAGGCATCGCGTAACAGTCAGACGTCGTCGTCCTGCCTAAACATGACTATGACTTGTTAAGGCTAATGTTATACATTGACAAATCATAGTCGTGTTTATGCCATAGTATGGTTTCCATCGTCTTCTAGCCTAATTGTAAATAGGTCCATGTACATGTAATTAAGTTATACTGTAAAACGTTATTTATGGCTATGTGTTTGAAGTCAACGTTCACCAGAAACCGTTCGCGTCGAATAATCATCAGCAATAAGTATTAATTTATCATCTTATACTATTTGAATATTATATTATAATGGATGACTTTTTATATTTTACATGAAAAATGTATAAAGTCAAAGCAGCTTTTTTTGCTTCAGAGACAGCTTCTAATGGGATGAATGCAATAAAGCTATTTCAGTCTAAAATTCTATAATTAATATCTAAATTGTAATACAAAATTCAAATTTTTTTATCAGTTTTTACAAAGTTCAAATGATAAATAGACATCAATAACTAAATGTAATAGTATGGGTTTTAACCAGCTACTAGACATTGAGCTATAGTCGTATTTATAGAATATATTCTATATCTATGGCTATAATATAGTTACTATACATCTGAACAAACAAAATTCGTCGACATTCTAGAGTTAACTTTTAAAATCAAAATAATAATAAGAACTCTCATGACTGTGTTGACGGTTGGAAAGAACAATGGATACTTTTCCGCCTAATCAAATGGCCCCCACAACAACCACCCAATCCGTCATTCCGAACAACAACACGTCAACGACAACAGCAGTGGATCTCGCGTGGGATTACAACACTGGAGACGACACGTCGCCATTGTTGAGAAGGGCTGCAGCTCGTATCAATCAGTTGGTTTAGCTACTAAACTTTAGTAAAGTTTAGTAGTAATTTAGTTTTACTTTTAGTAGTTTAGTTTTAGTTGGCCATTTGTTGATTGTGTTTTATTGCTACCAATTTTTTTAAATCAGTGATGTTAGTTAATAAATAGACGTATTTTTTATGATAATTTAGTATCCAATAGCTGATAGCACATTACAATTACTTACATACATCTTACATACATTATTACATTATAATAGGTTATATATATACATACTTAGTTATGTAATAAATATAATTTATAATACTAATGCCAACATGTGCATGATAATAGTTGGCTTAGCATAGTAAGCGGTTATCTTTTTGCATTTGAATCCAGGAGTTGAGACACTGAACTTTACTTACTTTACTTTACCATCACAATAGCCACTTTTATATATGTGATATATATGCAGAAATACGCATAACACCCCAGACAACAACAACATGACATCCCAAACAGGTCAGAGCAACAGAAATGCACAATGACAAGAAGGCAAGTTCAGTATCTGATACACAGTGTCCACGAGATATCCCAGATACTATCAAATGAACTGTACAGGTGTGACCACACTGACATCAATAACAGCAACAACACTAATGACGTCAACACTATTAACAACAACAACAACAACATTACTGGATCAAATGCTGCATATGGTTGTAGTTTAATATCCAACTCGTCAGGAGGCTCGTGCTCTCAATTTAAGAAGAGATGCTCACTTTTCAATTACTTGATTGAATATTCGGTTCTTATTATGTTCATCTTACAGGTCTGTCTTCTTGATATTTTTTTCTACATATAATATATACAATACATATGTATTTATTTTCAAAAACTGCACGTGATAATATGATAAGAAGGATGATAATATTTCTTATGATCAGATTACAGCCACAGTCGTTGATTCATTCATAGATCTTCATCTTTACCCTCATGTAAGATTATCATCAATTTCAACGACGATGATGATGAATGATGATGGTGGTTGTGATGGTGATGAAGATTATTGTGATGATGATGATGGTGGTATAGTAATTGGGATGAATGATTATGATGATGTGGCATTCATTCATTCATTCATTCATTCATTCATTCATTTATTCATTCATTCATTCAGGTGCCTTACACCTCATGTACCTCTGTGATCATCTGCATTGTGTTGCTTTTTATGCACTACTGTTAGTAATCCATCATCATCGTCATCATCATCATTGCTACAACCATCATTATCATCATGTTATCACCAATGTTATTATTATTATTGATTATTATTATAGTTATTATTATTAAATAGGATTTTATAATTATTTCATTATTAATATTTGGTATTTGGAGTTAGAAAATAAAAGGATGTTCCCATTATTATTATAACTATTCTACAGTAAGATTGCTGAAATTTTATATGGATCTGAAGCGTGTACACTTGTATACGCTCTGTACCTCCTGCTTTGTTACTGTTGTCATCTTCGCTTCTCTATACACAACTATACAACAATTACAGGTTATTTTTATTATTATTTTATATTATTATTATTATATATATATATATTATTAAAATTTTATAAATTATTTACATTTATTTTGTTTACACTCTTATATATTATTAATAATTTTTGATTAATTTCATTTTGATTTCATCTTTTTGGTCAATAAAATATTGTTCTAATATTATTATTATTTTGTTGTATTATTTTTATTTTTTGTAGTTATTATTAAACTAATATTGTTACTGTAACATTTTTATATATTATTATTGATGTTATTATTTTCCCACTTAGGTAATATTTATTTCTTATTGTAAGTAAATTTTTTTATTATAATAATTTATGTAATTTATTCGTTTTATTATGCTGTAATGTTTTATCATACAGGGGAATGATTCTCAATATTTTATTGGGAGGTACCTTGTAAATTTCCATTCTTCCATCAGTGTTATAACTCTCACTTGTTAGTGTGTACGTGTGTTTGTGAGTGTGCGTGTGTGTGCATACGTGTGTGTGTGTGTGTGTATGTGTGTGAAGATTACCATTACAATGATATATATTCATGCAAGGAAATTGATTTAAAAACTTTGTGTTGAAAAATTATGTAATGCCAAATCAAAAAATCAACGTTATTTTTGCGCCAATCTAAATTTGGCTATCAAATTAGAATTTTATTTAATTAAAGTTGATTAATTGATTAATAAAACAAAATTATGTTATTAATTCCCTCCCCCCTTTAATTATAATATATTAATTAAATCATTTCAAAGATTATGGACAGTTAGATTGTTCACGTTGGCCTATTCAAGTTATACTTACAATTGAAGTTTGTTCATTTATTCATTCATTTATTCGTCCAGTCAGTCATTCATATATTAATTAATTAATACATTCATTCACTTTTCAACTAACCAACCAACCATTCAAACGATCAACCAACCAACAAATCAACCAACCAATAAACCATTCAAATGACCAACCAACAAACCAATCAACTAACCATTCATTCAAACAACCAACCAACCCACCAACAAACCAACCAAACAACCAATGCTAGATGTTAGTTTCCTACATATACACGATCCTGATCGCATCGACTGTCATCGTTAACGTCTTTGCTTCCCATACATCCAGACCTACATTCCACGACAACATTAACATTAACAACAACAACAACGATAATAATAATAATAACAACAACAACAACATCTTTGATGTCCCACAACAAACAAATTTATTGGGTGACGTTGGCGATAGTGACAGCTTTATATTCAACACAACTGGAATCTACGGCTCTTTTGATAACTCCGCTTCCGCTTACAATGCTAATGAGAACAATATACAAAATCCTAATTTGATTACATTTAATACTAATGATGATGTCTGATTGGTTTATTTTGGTTCATTTATTCATTCATTCATTCATTCATTCGTTCATTCATTCACTTGTTCACACATTAATTCGATGCACGATTGATTGAAAAATTGATTGATTGATTCATTCATTCTTTCATCCATCCAACTGCTGTTTGTGGTTTTTTGATTATTTGATTGACATGTTTATAAACATCATCGTCAGTGTAACGGTTTTTATTTATATTAGCTTCACTGATGTGATTGCTACAAAATTGTATCGTTAATTGTCGTTTTGGATGTTTTTTTTGTTTTTTTTTTATAATTAAATCGAAATTAATAATTAAATTTATGATTGTTTATATAGTTTAATTGTTTATTTTACTTATTTAATAACGTTTGTAAATGCGTGTTTGTTAACTTGATGACGAACTTCTTTTCCTCACACATTTATATTTTATTAATTACACACACGACACACACATTTGGTGAATGCTGGTAAAAGACCATAATTACTGCATTCATACATTTATATATACTCGAACTCTCATCCCCAATTAATTTGTCAAGATAAAACTTTAAACAAGGGTTTAAAGGTTATTTGCTTAGGTTCAGAGATTAATTAATTAATTTGTTTAATTGGTGGTGTAATCATCTCAACTAACGAATCACTTTGTGTCTTGGTCGGGGTTTTGTTTATTTTTTTAAGCACATTAACACATACACACACGCACACACAAAAAACACACGCAGTTCTATATACTATACATTCATATATATATATATTTATATTTCTATATATATATATATATTTCTATATGCATATACACGTACTACAGATGTATATATCACATTGCTTGTTTATATATCTGATTTACGTTAATAAGATGTAAATATCCTTGCGTTTATATATGCCTTATAATTACAATTTATAGACTATTTACTCTGAGTATCTATGCCTTATTTTTATTTTTATCAATTAAAGTTGATTTCATTTTTATAAATTTTTAATTTATATTGTGCTCGTGTTTTGTACATTTTTTATTAATTTAAATTGTATTTAAATTTTACAGTTTATTTTTTCTAATTGGCGTTTACCTTTCCTATCATTTTTTGTCATTGCCGTTTGTTTGTGTGTTACGTGTGTGTGTGTGTTGGTGTGTGTGTGTGTGGATTCCTTAATAACTAAAGTTTTCTATTTTGAGTTTTATACGTAAAGCGTTTTTGAATAATAGAAAAAATACTATTTTCAATGTTTTTATGATTATTTGGCGATCTTAAAATTAATTTCTCAACGTTTTTAATTATTTAATATTAATTAATTAATTTGTTGATTAATTATTATTTATACTCATTATTATTAACTTAACTATAAAATTAATTTATTTATAGTATAAATAATTTAAAATTATTTTTGTCTATAAACATTTGCTCTTATGGCAAAAGAACCCTTTCAAAATTGCTCATTCATGAATTGTGCCATCGTATGTAAATTAATCCATTTATATTATATTATTTATATACTAATAATAATATGCTATTTATAATATAAATATATTTTTTGTTGTTTTATTTATTTATATACTTATCCCTTGAATTAAGACTAGATATCGTACATAATGGCAATAATTTGATGCTAATTTTTGTAATGTAATAATTATATGACAATACCATGACTAGGTTTTGGCTTTTATTTTGTCATTGTTACTAACATTAATTAGATGTATCTTTGTTATGGTAACGGGAAGTTTTGTAAGAAAGGTTCTCAAGTTAATGGTATAAACTAGTTAAAGCCATCATATATGGAATTGATTTTAACATTAAACGTTATTATAGTTAATTTGTTGTTTATGTTAACGAGATTAACAAAGAATATGTCCTTATAATTTATATATATATATATATATATATATATATATATATATATATATATATATATGGGTGGACGTACAAGCTCGTTTGTATATATATATATATTCGATTAAGACTGCCAGAAATGCAGTTATTGATGAAAATAACAGTATGTTCGGCGTCTGAGTAAGTTAGCTAGCTTTCGAAAAATTAAACAGGAAACTAACACAGAACATGCTGTAATTTTTATCAACAATTGCATATATATATATATATATATATATATATATATATATATATATATATATATATATATATACATAGCACCCCAAAATAAACGTAAGCTACTAATGCAAAAATAAGAAAAATGAATAAAAGGATAACAATCGTTGAATAAATGAATAAAAATAATTAGAATTAAATACATTAATAATTAAAAATTAATGATGAAATGAAACAGAATATGACAAACCTCTGATTTACAGCCATTCACTAACTGTTTACACAACATACAATGAAATAAATATATCTATTTACATAGGAAATTTTTGAAATTTCTCTCTCTTTTTTTCTCTCGCACAAACACAAACAACACATACACACGCACGCAAGCACACGCATATATATATTTTTATTTTATTTTGAAAGACAACAAAATAATAAATTTTAATGTTATAGAGATACGATTACGACAATAATATGATACACAATATATTTAAATACCGTTTTTGATTTACTAATACAATACCACCAAACATTTATGTATTATGTATAACATATTTACGTTTGTGTATACATACACGGTACATGTATGTATAAATATAAGCATGTGAGAATAATAGATACAACTATTTAAGCTTTGGTGTGTTGTGTCTTTCTATCTGGCCCACATGAGTTAACTTTAGTAGTAAATGGCGCTGCATCATTCCTGATTGGTGGACTAAAATCATCATCTTCTTCCTCGTCGTTATCATCCCCCCCATCATCACCATCATCCTGACGTCTTCGGACCCTCATCAACTCACTCTCTTCATCATTTTCGTCCTCCTCGTCAATCACTATCTCTCTCAGCTGCTTCCTTGCGTTTTTCCTTTTATATTTTTTCTTTTTGCTCTTCTTCACGCAACTGGAATTGTTGCCTATATCGTTGCTGATGTTGTTGTTGTCAGTCGCACCATCGTCCGGGTCGTCGTCATCATCGTTGTTGTTGTTGGTGGTTTTGTTGTTGAGGAGATGGTTTTCGATGTGAGGTGTTGGGTTGATTGTTGACGTCAGCACATCTACCAGAGTGTACCGACGATTTTTTGACAGCCGACCAAACAGGCGGCACTTACCTGTTATACGAATGTTTTTAACCTTCATCATTCAATATTTATGTAATACTCTTTACAATTTTTTTCCCATGTATTTCACAGAGGTATCAAACTACAAGCATACAAACTAAGTATATATACGACCGACACATCACCTATGGGTTATATGTGATTAAGTAAGCATATCTAGCAAAGAATCTATGCTTGAACAAATAAAATATTTCATCTGTTCAGGTAAATATAACTTTGAAGCTTTTTTTTACAGAATGAAGTTTTCAATTATTTTTCAAATAAATTTACAAAAACGCCAGTTTTATCTTGAAAAACACCTAAAATTATTAGAAAAAAATTAACAAAGCATACAAAAAAACCAACCTGATCTGGTAAACTTGATGACCAATGTGGCAATAACCAGCAATAAGATAGGAACAATAAGCAGGGAGGCAATGACAATAGAAGCATTCAGATCTGAAACATCAAACGCATTCACATCTAGAACTCGATGTTGCTTGACCTCTGACCTTTCAATGACCAGTCCTGTAGAGGAGGTGACCGCAATGTTAGTACGATATTCAACATTCAATGATGGTTGACTGGAAAAGGAAGGTACTAATGATGGCAATCTTGTCTGCGTGGCAGTAGTTGGTTTGACTTCTGCCAAAGTAAAAAAAAATTCAAATTTTTAATGATATAACAAAGATATCTAAAAAATCGTACATTAAAAAATGAGATACAGTATCATGAAAATATACCCATTGTGCTACTCTTACTTTCAGAAACTGTGGAAATCAAAGTATTTCTTAGACCTTTTTTAGGAGAAGCAACTTCAGCAGGCTTAGGAAATTTTTCTGAATATTTTTTTTAATAAGAACTTTACAAACCTCTCCCGGCTTTCATTTCATTTTACAAAAATAATAGTAATTCAATTACTGATAATAATAATGATAATGTAAAAAGTTGACAAAATAAAATCGACATTATCAAAAATTATAAATATCTGGACAAACAACTGGACATCTAATAACCATCTAAGGTGTTACTGCCATTAGAATGACCACCCCCATGACCGCCATTGTGAACACTAAGCAAAGATTTCACTGAAAAATTCCTGGTCACAAATTTAGGATTCCTCAGTCTCTTCTTGTTAGCAGCAAAACCATTGAACTCCACGTAATCACCAGCACCTTCATCATCGTTATCACTGGTAACATCATCCCCAACATCAATGTTATCGAGGATGTTAGCATTATTATCTTTTACATTGCTAGACCTACTGTTGGAAGAATACTGATAGAGATCTGGATAGGTGAATATGTTGGAAGGAGGGTAATGATGGAAAGAATTCTTTCGATTCTGGTACCTTGGTAGAACCCCTGGGTCGAAAAATATTTCTTTTTTATATTTTTTATTTTCTATAATAAAATTTCGATTTGGACATAATTTCACACTCATAGTTTTGTTCAATTAAAACAAATATTGAAGTTAGTTAATATGAAAAATTTAAAAAAAATACAAAAATAAATAACATTATATACAAAAAACCATATAAACATCACAAAGAAACGAGCATATCAGATGAATGAAAATCAACAAATACTTCTGCTGTCAAAACTGGAATACCAATCTCCATCATCATTCCTGCTTCTAACATCATCCCCACCATCATAATAATAATTATCATTTATCGGCTTCTTTGTTTTGAAATTTGTAAAATGTCTTGGTCTTCCATACAAATATTTAATGTCATTATCACGAGTGTAAATGTTGTCATCACTGTTTAACAATGCTGCCTTCAATGGGTGTTTCAATTTCTATGGGGTTTTCCATTATGTGAAAAAAAAGTTTAGTAAGAATGTAAATTCAGATTATTGAAATATCAGAGCTCTATCAATATCAACACCTATTAAAATAAAAGTTCTAAATTTGGAATAAATTAATTTTCTTTTACTAAAAAAATTGATAGATTTTCTGTTGTAATAGATTTAAATTAGCAAACTTATAACAATGTGAAGTTATTTTAAATAATAAATGTTCTACAAATATAAAAAAAATTAAATAAAATAAATTAAGAACAAAAAACAAACAACAAATGAGAAGATAATACATGCACAAAATTCGAATAAAAATACATAACTCAAACAAAAGATAACAATGAACAATCAGGCACGTTTAATACAAACCAAATGAAAGATATCAAACACAATTGGCTCTGCAAAGTAAAAATTGTATAAAGAAGCTGAAATGAGAATCAAACAAGTATTGAATTAAAATAGTAGAAAATAAAACATACAACTAGCATGTTTTATTTATAACTATCAATGAACATTATTTGCATATTTAGTTAGTATCATTCAAATTTACTTGGCCAAAATGAGAAGCATTCATTTTTGAGTTTTCATCTTTCGTAAATTTCTCATCCCTGAAATTGTCAACAGTTTAAAATTAAATTTTATTTTATTTTCACAAGAACAAGATTTCTTTACAACATACATCTTAATGTAATGCTGACTGATAAATGTTTTTTTTCACCTTTACATAGGTAGCTTAATAAAAAATGTGGGATTGATAAAGCAGTATTAAACATAGCCAGTGCCAATTAAACACCTATTCAATATGATGAAACAGTTTGCTATGTATAAATAAAATATAAACATCAACAGCCATCTGATGAACAGTTCAAAAACATTTGAAGAAGCAGCAATATCTGTTCAAATGACTTTTTGTCAGTCATGCTGACATTTGCTCATCTTGGTCTTAGGCTAGCGCTTCTCAACTCAGGTTAAGTAAGGCCTAACTAGATTTTTTAATATATTTATTTTACATAAATAAACAATAATGAAATAGGTGTTTATACATTTATATTATAATTAACTTGTAATAAGAAAAGCTGTATGGTATGTTACATGGCCTAATCAGATGAATGGCATTTGGGTTAATTCAAATTAAAGTTTTGTTGAACAAAACCCCAAGACTTTAATTAACTACTTAACACTTCTTAAGACTAAAACTTATTTTTGAACCAGGACATTCCTTGTTTATTTGCAGTAGAGGAGGTTAACTGTCTTGTCAGTGTGTTAGCTAATAAAAGTAATAGATGGCGGATAATTTAAATTTAATTTTTTTGACTAGCAACTCGACCACTAACTAGAATCTGAGAGTATATTTTTTTATATTGAAATTTTAATTAAAAAAATAAAATTCAAAAGGGAACAACCAATCAATAATATTAAAAATTTATTTCTAAAAATGTAGGTCACTTGTCAATCTCTTACCTATTATTTAAATCTGTTGATGTGTTGTAAGCGTGATAAGTTAAAATTAGTGAAAGAATAGGAAGAATCAGACCGCTGCCAACGACACACATGTTTGTTTTCTATGTTAGCCATTTAAATTTCTTAAACACTTATCTGATCAAATTATTTAGTGCAGAACATTTTGTAATTTTTTTTGTATGCTAAAAAACTAAAATTTTGCTTTAAATTATTTAAACAATTTATTTGTTATGTTAAAACATTAGATAGTAAATTTTTTTAGAAAAGACATTTCAAGCACCTTTTAACATACTCTTCTGCCTTTGTCTCAAAATAGATTTACAATTTAAGCTAGTTTAAAAAAATGGCGAACCAATTGCAGAATTGATTTTAATTTAATTCTTAGGGACTGATTTTAAATCCAAAAACTAAATAAACTAGATATTTTTGTAACTTATTGCGCTGATTGATTCACACTGTTGTACAATTGTTAAGTATCTTTATCCGTTTATCGTTTCAAATGATCACGTTGAACAAAAATGTAATAAATAAAATTCTGTTTATTTTATAATTTAATGAATTAATTATTTTAAGATGCATCTTTCCTTTCTTCATTTTTTATCGCAAGTGATAGTCATGGAAAATAACAAATTACAGTCTGAACAGTAAATGAATAAACTATGAACACCAAAGGTCGTAAACTAATAAAATAAATAATTAATGATTCTCACAAACATTGATTAAAAATTTAATTTTTGTTAATTTTAGACATTTTAGTTATTTTCAACTTTAATATAATTTTTTTTAAAATATATTTTAAAAATAATTTTTTCAGGACCACTGAAAAAGAATGCAAAAGTCATTGGATAATCTAAGGCCAAATAAGTCTCACAGACTGGTTCCAATTTCTTATGTGAATGAAGTTGTTAGAAACAGTGCCACAAAGATATTTGAAATAATTAATAATTCCTCTGTCACAACAACAGATGTAAATGAAGCAAAAAAATTAATTGAAGAAAATCTCAAATGCAATCAGCAGAGTTTGTTCACAGTTGTAAATTCAAATGGATTTACATTGCTACAATGTTCAATTGTAAAAAATCTTGTACCATTTGTAAAATTATTTTTGAAAAAAGGAGCAGACGTCAATTCTGGAATTTGTAGTTTACCACTTCACCTGGCTTGCTCTCTAGGACACATAGAAATTGTTCATATGTTACTGTGTTATGGAGCCAAGGCAGATTTGGAGTGCACAGTGTGTTACCCTGAAGAACACAAGATCAGAACGTGTCCTGATAAAATATTCTGCCTAGCCTACCAACCTGTGTATACACCGATGATGTGTATTTTATCAGGAGATCATGATTCGCTTCTTCCACTGCTCATTAACCATGAAAATTCAAAGTGCCAAATCAAAACTGAATTTCTCTTGCATGAAGCATGCAAAATGGGAGCATTTGCCTGTTCTAAATACTTGATGCAAAATTATTCAGAACAAATAGTGCAAGAAAACAAGGAAGGCAAAACGCCTTTGCAAATAAGTCTAGTTGTTGATGCTGATAATGCAAAGTTCCTCATGAACAATGGTGCCGAAATTAAAGACACCGTATTTCTAATTGACAACGGTTCAACACTCCATGAAATGTACAAGAGAAAGGTTAATTTAGGTCTTGTAAAAGCAACTAAATTTGCTCTTGAATATGGATTTAGAAATCACATAAACATGCGAGATAATGAGGGCAACACAGCTTTATATGTTCTCTTGAAATGTGTTGGCAGAACAGTCAGAAGTGCGATTCAAGTTAGCTATGATAAAGAAGTAATCGAGTCAGTAAAACTTCTTTTGGTGTCTGGTGCCAATCCAAATATTATGAATCATTTAGGAGAGACGGCCCTCCACGTTGTGCTCACGGACAGTCTCACCAGACAGTTGTATGTTAATCAACATGGACAGGTCAGAAGATTGAAATCTGTTCTTCAAGAAATTTACAAAGTTGTTGAGATACTTTTATCACATGGAGCAGATCCCGGTCCAAAGTCTGCTGCCAAGTGTCTGCCACCATTGTTCTATGCAATACACATCTTTCAGTCACTGCAACCTGAAATGTTTGTTGTCGTGAAAACTGCTTTGAAACAGTTATTTTTCTTGTTCTCCAAGCCACCATGCAATATGAACAAAAGAGATTCATCTGGCTGCACAATGTTCCTCCATCTATTGCACACAAGTTATCAGTGGCTGTCTGCCAACACGTCAGCTGTCAACCCCTTCTCGACATCCATATTCACGTTTCTTGGGGGTGTATTGTTAGGTTTCGTGAAGCAAGGCATGGATCCCAATGATATATTATCATACAAGTTGTCCAGAGGGCAGAACACAATTTCAACTTATTTTACTGAAATGTTATCATTTTGCAGTTTAGAAGCTATTGATAAAACTATGTACATGCATATCAAAATTATAATAACGAAACTTTTGCAAAATGGGTTTGATATGAATGCTTTTATTGCAAGAGTTTGTTCCAATGATCCATCGATTTCCAATGATGTATGTAGCGGTGGCAGTAGTAGCAGCAACCATCTTGCAGATTATGTTGAACTTCATTCATTTTATTTAATATTAACTCAATCATTCCTCAATAGAATGTTCTTGAATAACTTTCAAGAAATATTTAGTTTGTTTTGCAACACACTAGAACAAAGAAACTTTAATATTTTTATTAGTAGTTTTATTCTAAATACAAACTGCAAGTCAGATGACGGTAGAGAAATTAGCTCAGACGTTAGGGAATATCTGGCTAAGATCAACTCTGTGCCAAGGTCACTGAAAAAATTATGTAGAATCGCTTTATGTGTGAATCTCAAATGGAGACTTCATCCGTCATGCTCTTACCTGCCTCTTCCAAAAATACTAGTAGAGTACATGCTGACACTGTATGATTGAGTTGTTACGTTACACTACATCAGTTTATTTATCATGTTGACACTGTTTATTTCGTTGTTATTCGTTCATTTTTTTCCAACATCTCATCATGTTTAGAGCTACATAGTTGTTTTTTGTTGTTGATTTTCATGTTGACTGATTGTGTTTGTTCCGGGCTTTGTATTTAAATTTTTACAAAATTGTAAATAAGTTGTTAAATAGTTGAATGATTGTTATTTTTTTTCGTTTCGATCTACAAAGTCTAGTCTTCACAAATATTTTAATTTATAACAGTTTTAAAATTTATATATGAAAAATTGTTTTAATTCGTTTGTTTGTTATTAATTTCGATAAAATTGAAATGCTCTGTGAAATAAAAATATTTTTAACTAATTAAACTGTCTCATCTTTGCGTTTGTACAAATTCGAACGATAAATGCGATAGGCATCAATTTAAAGGGTTGTGCGCCTATATTCGCAATTAGATTTGAACCTGCCAACATTAAATACCGTTGGAAACTGCGATAAATTGAATTAAGTGTTTAAATTGGAACAAAATTGAAAAAATGAAAGGATATGATGTAAAAATGTCTTCAACTGCAGAGAATATTAGCTAGCCGATTATAAAGTTGATTAATTTAATAAGCTTTTTTCGAATTTAGGATAGTTTACGCAAAGGGAGACCTATTTACCAGCATACAACACCTTCTTATGGGTTGAAGCAGGGATATGCAAAGAACCTCAATTTTCAGTAATGTCTCCCCTTGCTCCAAACCACATAACTAGAATAATAGGACTAATCGATCAATTCGATCTATCGGTCGGGCTATTTGTCGTGCTTGGATTGTTGGATTACGAAATTGCATGAATTTTAACGAGCAAGCTAAATGAAATATTTACTTGATTTAATATGCTTAAAACATTGTAGTAATTCTATTTAATTTTAATAATGATTAATAGAATTATGTATTATTAAATTATTTTTGTTAATTTGAATATAAAAATTGCCTTTGGTCCGGTGAAATCCGGTGGCTTACTGTGGCCGAAGATTGGCTTAGTAGGATTGAACTATAGTCACCCTTTTTTTTTTACACTATTCGATCATGTTAAAAATTGGTTTGCTTATGAAATAAACGGCCTAAATAAATCAAAATTGTTATTTGAACGACTATCTTCATTATATTCAATGAATATTTTACATTCTGCTGGTGCTCATAAGAAACTGGCTGCTGAAATCATACGTTGGCTTACAGCAGTGGCTTACAGGGTTTCATAGAACTTTTACGATAGCACTTTTTTGTACATATAATGCTTTAAATAAATCAATATATTCATATCACAATTATTTTTGTCAGTATAAATATAGAAATTGCTTTTGTCAGGTGAAAAACAGTGGCTTATTGAAGCCGTAGGTTGGCTTAATCGGATTTTTTCTCATGTATACAATACTATGAGATAAATCAATCAACAATCAAACAATCAGTCAGTCAGCCAGCCAGCCAGTCAGTCAGTCAATCAATCAACCAACAAATCAATCAACCGATCAATCAACTAAATTGAATGAACCAAACAAACAAAAATAAAAACAAAAATAAATAAAAAAAATTTGCAAGGCCTGTTCAAACTCGAACAAACAGTTAACCGTACAGATCTACAAACAATTTCGAGATTTTAGTAAAGAAAGAAAAACACATTAGTTGCTTTTATTTGAATTCATTCAAAAATGAAAAGTGACGGTTAATTAAAATTTTAAAATGTCAATTTTTTTTAAATTCGTATTTTAAATAAACAAATAACAAAATATCGACCGATAAAAATTATTATCCATTATTATTATTATCATACACACTCCTTAGAAGTTCTCGAAGGATAATAAACCACGTAACATGAACATTTAGTAAGAACAGTTCACAACATATCATAATGACTAAATCAACATACTAAACAGAAATAATTTATACATGCATATATACAAAGTAAATCAAGAAATATTCAAAAATTATATAACCAATTTAAAAAAAACTAGAAACCAGTCAACATTTAATGAATAAATAAATAGACATTATTAAAAAGATTGTTCAAAAATGTACAATTTAAGGCGACGACGAGAATGAAATGTAGTTTGTTTTGTTGGTGTGGTGTTGTGAAGCGAAAACAAACACATCACACAAAACTAGTAAGAAGTCGCAAGAATAAGTCAGACACCTACCTATAAAATAACTCTCAGGGCCCTATCTTACTTATAAACATTGACTCAACTCACTTACCTACAAATTTGTATTTCTCGTTTTAGATGTTTCAAGTATTTTATTTAACATATTTTAGCGTTTTTATTTTACTTGAAGCTTTTTAACTAGTGTTAAGCCCTAGCCTACCTACAATTGTTTAACTCATCTCAGTCCTTAACTTACCTATGAATTAAATTAAAGCCCGGTTCACGGTAAAGAAAATATAAAGTTGAAGAGAAACATAGCAACAACGACACTGAATGAATGGATGTTGTGTATGTATGTGTTGTATTGATGTGTGTGTATGTAAATGTGCGGGCGCGCACTCTCCAGAAACTTCACTCATTACCGACGAACCTCCATTGCACCGACCATCATCTGACACGCATCGATGGAATGAATTTGACCGGATACTGAAAAATAAATTGAAAAAAAAATTAATTCACTAAAATAAAAAACAAGCAATTGGAAAAAATAGGCAACTTAACTTTTTGAGATAACACTCAATCTTTGTTCAAATTAGAGTACTTTCAAAGGTACAATGAGACAAAAACAAATTTACTTTTAACATTATCTTCGATTTGTCATCGGAACGATCATCATGAGACCACCATCTGAAACGTGCTGACGCCCACCACAGCCCACCTCTCATCATACTGTAGACAAGTTTTTTTATTAATTAGCGAAGTAGTAAATCAAGAAACAAAGGAACGAACGAATAAATGATTAACTGAATGATTGAACGATTGGTTGAATGAATAAATTAACTAATTAATCAACCAATGATTTAATGAATGAATAAAATGAATCAATGAATAAATTAACCGAGGAATAATTTGAAAGATAGTGATAAAATGAATGAATGAATGAGAAAAATAAAAAAAAGAAACTAAATCATACTTCAAAAACCGTCGTTGTTATCTTCGAATTGTCATCGGAACGATCATCATGAGACCTCCATCTGAAACGTGCTGATGCCCACCACAGCCCACCTCTCATCATTCTTTAGACATTTTTTAATAGCGTATTAGTAAATCAAGGAACAAAGGAACGATCGAATAAATGATTAACTGAATGATTGAATAATTGGTTGAAGGAATGAGTGAATGAATGAATTAATTAATAAATCAATGATTCAATTAATGAATAGAATGAATTAACGAATCAATTAATAGAAGAATAATTTAAAAGGTTGAGTGATAAAATGAACGAATGAGAAAAATAAAAAACGAAACTAAACTTTACTTCAAAAATCGTCGTTACTGTACTTTCCATTGCACCGACCACCACCATCTGGTCGGCACACGAAATACCATCCGAACTTCAGAGTGTCAGTCAAACAGCCAACGAGCTGATTCTTCTTACACCACCATCACCATATGTAAATCATCATGAGACCACCATCTAAAACGTGCTGACTCCCGCCACTGCCCACCTCTCATCATTCTGTAAACAAAATTTTTTTATTTGCGTAGTAGTAAATAAATGTTAGAATCTTAGAAGCAAAAAAATTAAATTATAAAATGAAAATAATGTCAAATAAATAAAATTTTAAAATAATAAAGTAAAATGTAAAAAAAACTTACCGTCGTCCATTCGACAAAGGCAGAATGTTGAATGCGGTCCGGTTCCTACGTTGTCCTCCAAAACTGGTGCCAGTCCTCCTCGAGATTGTTGTTGAAACACAGCCCGTGTTGATGGAGAAAGATAGAGAAAGAGTAGATTCTCATCAGAAAGCTTAGCGGTGCCTGCATCTCAAATTGTTTAATAAAAATAATCCTATCTACCTATTCAATTGCCTTAACTAATCTATATTAAATTGTTAATGGTACGATAGTCGAAAGTCCCCCTTCATTCTTCCTCCTTGCACAGAGGTTCACCGACAGCCAGGGCACCGGATAGAAAACCATTGCCGTGCGGATAGTAGACTATTGCCGTGCGGATAGTAAACCATTTGCCGTCCGGAAGCCGTGCGGGTAGTAGACTATGGCCGTGCCGCATAGTAAATCATTACCGTGCAGATAGTAAACCATTGCCGTCCGGATAGTAAACCATTGCCGGTATACCACTGGCCACCAAGGCTTACCTCTGACAAGAGACTTCAAAATTCAGAGTCTATCGGCTATCGTGCCCTCAGCTTACCTATTCATTACAATTAAGCCCTAGCTTACCTAAAATTACAAAAAACCTCAAGAGCCCAATTCATTGGCCAATCGGCACCCACCCCACCACCTACGTAATGCCTTGGGCTCCAACTTAGTAATAATATAAAACTTAAACCCTAAATCTATTAATGAGTGTGTGTTACAACGTAGCCTTAACTTACCTATTCATTACATTGTGGCCCTAGCTTACCTAAAATTACAAAACTCAAGAGCCCAATTCATTGGCCTTTCGGCACCCACCCCACCACCTACGTAATGCCTTGGGCTCCAACCTAATAATAATAATGTAAAACTTAATAACTAACTTACCTCTCGATACACTTACAGCGTTTATTTAATTTAAATTACAAGATTGTTCCTAGAATTAAATTATTGCTTTTAACTACCTATAAAATTAAATTACTCTCAACCTTAGTAATAATAAATTAGAATGTGTAATGAAAATAAAATAACGCTCAAATACTAATATGTGTTTATGTATGTGTTTGTGTGTGTGTGTATAATACGCTGATGCGTGTAATGTGGGTGCGAGAAAAAATAGAAGAGATAAACTTACGCTGCCTACCTATTCAACTACATTAGTGTTGGATGCTTCCTATCTATCCTACCTACAATTAAAATTATGCCTATCTAACCTACCTATATAACTATTTAATGTAATTGTGTGTATGTACGTGTGCATGTGAGCATTCTTACTTAATGTTAAATTACAGAGAAAAACAGAGAAAAAAGAATAAAACGTATCCCAAGCCGAGCCAAGCCAAGCTGAGCCAATATGCATAGATTATAATCGCTTTTATATTAAAATTTTGCTCGCTTTTTAAACGAATATCTCAATATAACAAATTCTCCATCCTATTTTAACTTTCTTTGATGCTTTTTAATCAGTCAGGTCACAAAAATCATTATCGATATCGCAATGAAATCAATTTGAAATTTTTTTAATTATTGATAAAATTTTTAAATTGTTGATAAAAATAACTAGTATATATAGTGTAGTAAAACGTTTAAAATTTTCTGAGAGAATTCAAAATAATTTGAGCCTACACCATAACACAATTGTACAATTTGAATATGTAAATACAACATTATAAATGTATTATAACTACATGTCTATTTCTTTATTTAGTTCTGCCTGGGTATGATATTTTGTCAAATTTATTTGATAGGAATTGAATATAACCTTTATACCGGCTGATTAACTACCATGCAGTAAAATAACTACTGTTGACACCATTTCCTCCAACGATTTCGCAACGAATTGCCCATACCATATAATTAGAATAAACTCTTTCAATCAATGTTTAAATTTTTATATTGTCATTTATTCTTTCGTTTTTGTTTCTGTACTAATTTTCGTGTCAGACACAATAATTTAGTTTTGAAGTAAATTTTCATTTTCGTAGCTATACACAAACATGCCTACCTGTTGCATTAAAAATTGCATTAATAATAAATATAAATGAAAAAATTTCTGATGCATCTTTTCTCTTCACTCTAAAATAAATGTAACCTTATCCCTATACTCATTGAATAGAACTATTTTGTTTTACAATTACATATATTTTATTTTATAGACTATTAAAATTTATAATGCTATCATGGATTACCATTTTATTATTAAAAGCAATACTTAAGAAATGCACAAGTTTCTGTAACAGTTTATAAAATTTCAGATTTCCTCAAAATGTAAAAATGCAAAACGATTGGATTAAGTGCATCAGACAGGAAATAAATGATTTTAAATGGCTTCCATCAAAAAATGCAAGAATATGCAGTGACCATTTCTGTAACAAAGATTATAAGGGTTATGATGGAGAAAGGAAGGTAATGCTGAAGAAAGCATTCCCATGTTTTCAAGTTAGTTATATTTATATGTCATCAGTTACACAAGGAAGCAATTCACATCATCATTGTACATTGCAACATTCTTATCTATACAAAAAATATAAAATGCATTCAACAATATCCCATGTATTTTATTAAAACTTAGAAAGGGCATAATGACATTGTGAATAATAAACCCTGCTTAGGACTGGGATCATCATCATCATCATACCAATCACCATTACAAGTAGAGTTAATTTTATATTAATGCTTAACAAGTTAACTAAATTGGCATAATCAAGTTTTTATATGAAATACACATCAAGTATTTAATGTAACGAATAAATTAACAAAAATTTCTGGAAAAGTTTAAAAAAATTAGAACATATGACTCTGATCAAAAATCATTAGCGTTGACACTGCATTTGTATGGGCATAAGGCATATGATTATCTTTGGACAAATGGCTTACGTCTTCCTCACACTAGGACATTAAGAAAGTAATCTTGTCATACCTGCTCAATAATTTTAATAAGATTGTTTTAAATAACTATTCTCAATGTCATTTTATTAACACTACATTAAAAGGTGGCTACAAAACATTGATGGTATGCCTGGGGTGATTTCTACAAACCTTATTGACTAATGGTGATGGGGATCCTCTGGAACTGTAGGATCATGACATTCAACCTAGTCATGCATTGAGAAATCAATCCTTGATATATTTGATAACAAACATTTGGTATAATATAAGAATGAAAAAAGATGTAGGTGTAAGGCAAAATCTTACTGGAACTATTATTTTTAGCAATTTATGATTTATTTTTTTATTTATGACTTTATCCATTTTAAATGATACCGATATTTTTAATTATTATTATCCAAATTATACTTATGCCTATATAAATTAATTTGATTGTGGCTATTTCTATGCTTGCATTTAATAAATTAACGATAATAATTAATCAATCAATCTTCGTTTTGCGTCCAGAGACCCGGTTTCCCAAGGTATTAATAATTAATAACACAACATTCTAAGTGCATAAAATATAATAAATTAAAAGTACAATTTTTACAAACCTCATTGGTTATGGTGATGGGGATTCTTTTAAAACTGAATGATCATGATCTAACAAGTTATGGATTGATGAATCACTGGAATCACACATTATCTTTAATAAATTTAATAACAACATGTACTACAATTTAAGAATGAGGAATATTTTGTAAAACATTAAATGATTAAATGAAAAAAAATTTAGTTTGAATCACTCATAATTAATAAATTTTAATTAAATTGTAAGTTAGCTTGGGGAGTTTGAAGCTTGAATTGAACAAATTACAAAATTGTTTATTTTATAAAATTGATTGATAAGTTCTTTAATACATTTATTTAATTTAGTAAATTGTAAATAAAAATTTTAAAACCAATCAAGCAATAGAATTTAGGATCTTAGGAACAAGTGCTGTTAGTCGTTAGTGTAGTAGTAGTATGTAGTAGTGTAGTGGTTGGTAGTTTCTAGTAGTCTAATCTGTTAATGTTCGTTAGTGTTATCTGTTATTTATTTTAATTAGTAATTAGAATCAGTAGAGTTTAGTTTTAGCTTAATTATTAGAGTTTAGTAATTTAATTACTAATTAGTCGTCGTTTAGTGTTGTTACAGTTAATGAGTTAAAAGTGTTGTTGGTGGTTCACAAAAAATTTTTTTTATTTAAAATGCAAAGATACTTAACCGTCATACAGCAATATCTATCCTAAAACAGCATCTAGTATCACCTTTTAAAACATTTTGAAATTTTAAATAAAAGCAATATTCCGAAATTAGTAAATATACGATCGTAACTTTTGACTTGGGCGATAAAAAATCCCCCTCCAATTTCCCTCTGGAAGTAAGCTCCTTGTTCGACTGTCAAAAATGAGCGAAGGCCGTTATATTTATTCTAATTATATGAGTTTACGTCTTAAAATGATTTTACCAGCCTTAAAAAAGATTAATTGTACCTGAAACTTCTCACTGTCTCTTGCTCGAGTAATGTCGAATACATTTGTTAGTATGGTAAAAAAAAATCTGTAAATACAGCTGTGGAACATTTCTTCTATGTGTAGATGGGGATCATGAAGTTTACTCATAAAAATTTTCAATGTAGAAAGCTGTTGGCTGCACACATCACTGATGCAAACGAAAGGTGAAGGAAGAACTAGTAACAAAAGGTCAAAGTTAAATGCATAAGCAGCTGTAGGTTCAAGTTGCGAGTGTTGGTTCATTAAGGTGAACATTTCTTTCAAAAAGGCGAAACTTTTTCAAATAATTTTTTTTGGAAAAAATAAATTAATAATATGTACTTCCAATTAAGTTGCAAGAAGTCGATGTCATGCCTTCACAAGGTTAAATTTTTAATTTTAACACTATTCATACCGTGATTTCGTATGGGTGACCTATCTTTGTCAGGTCTAGATTAAAAAGTGCATAAAAAATAATTTCGCTATTCTCACTCCAAAAATTTATAAATGCTAAGTTTAGAGTTAAATTTGTTAAAATAATGTAATCGAATGATATTTTAATAATTTATTATTTCTTGGGCTTGTTATCACAAGAAATAATGAAATTAACTGTGAATTCTTTAAAAATTTAATTTAACTAGGCCTTTCTGAACTCCAATGGCAATCTAGTTGTCAGAGCACTTTCAACGCAGGCAACTCCAAAGGAAAATATTTATTGGAATGATCGCTCTGAACCAGGGGAATCAGTCAGTTATATGTCAAACGAATGAGTTGTATAATTTAATATATTCAATTGTACTATTATATGTAATACAATTACAAAACAGGCATTTTAAAATGATCATAAGTTTGTAAAATTTTACTATCCTTTCTATTATACAGTGCAATTTAAACATGAGCTAAAGATTGAGGTAAGAGGTGCTATGGATTTTAATTGTAGTAAATAAAATGAACATCAGATATGTATATGACTTTTCCCCCAACCTTAAACCTAAGTATTAATAAAGAAATTAATAAAAAATATTTTTTTCAGATGTTTTGATTATTTATGCTACTAAAACTATATTATTTAGTTCCACTTTTAATTATAATTATTCATTATATCTAAAGACTTTCAAGAAAATCTTGATTGCAAATAGAGGTGAGATAGCCTGTAGAGTCATTGAAACATGCAGAAGGTTGGGCATAGCTACTGTTGCTATTCACAGTGATGTCGACTCAAATGCTGTGAGTTCACTTCATTCTATTACATTTGCATTCTTACTAATATTCATCCTACATTGACTGATTAGTTGTACAGCATCCCTCAAATCTTTAATTCTTATGTTGTTAAAATCCGAACATTCTACCAGAAATTCGTTCACATGGCCGATGAAGCATTCTGCATTGGGCCTGCACCTGTCAATCAAAGTTACCTGAACATGGAAGCCATCTTGGATGTTGTCAAAAAAACCGGATCTGAAGCTGTTAGCGCTTTGAAGCTTAACTTTATGAGATAATTTGTAACAATGAAATCTATTTGTTTTATCTATGTGATCTATACTTGTACCCTATATATTTTATTGTATTATTATTTGATGAAATAACAGTTGATACGCTGTTTTTGACATTCAAAACCATGTTGAAATATTAAATATTCTAGAAGGCCATTAATTGTAACTGATCAAGTCTCTTCATTGAAATTAAAAATAACTTTATAAGGTGCACCCTGGTTACGGTTTCCTGTCTGAAAACATGAAATTTGCCAAGATGCTTGTTAGTGCAAACCATTTAGTTGAATTTATATTGATTTGATTGGTTCGAAATTATTTTTATATTGTATGAATTATTATATCATGCATAATTTATGTTAATTTATTTCTAAAATATATTGTAATATTTGTACTATATATAATTTAATGCACTGGGCAAACCACATTATGTTACCCTAGTAAAAATTGTTAAGTATATTGTATTGAAGAATGTTAATTTGTATTAGGAAGATGCGGGTAGCATGTTCATTGGGCCAACCAGCTTCTCCATAAAAGCCATGGGAGATAAGATTGAGAGTAAGAGGTTCGCACTGAAGGCCAAGGTCAACATGATCCCCGGCTTCGATGGGGAGGTCAAGGACGAAGATCACGCCGTCAAAGTCGCCAACGATATTGGTTTGTTGTTGCCGCTGATGTTGTTGTTGTTACAGCTTTTTTGTTATGTTGTTGTTTGTTATGATGTTGTTGTTTGTTATGTTTCAGTAACAACACAACACTCAAAACATTAACATAATCACAATCATATACATGCACATTTGTTCTTGTGGTTGATTTGAAGTTTACTTCAATTTTTTGCTTGTTGAATTGGCCAATATTATTCACGTTGTGATTAAATAGACTCATATAACTCATGAGGCGTAATAATAAACATTGGGCAAATTTTGTAAAATGAATATAATAAAATTAATTAGCATAATTTATGAATCAAATTATAATAATGAATTTAACCTACCAGGCTATCCAGTGATGATCAAGGCATCAGCTGGCGGAGGAGGAAGAGGATTGAGGATTGCCTGGAATGACAAGGAGTGCAGGTCAGTTGGGATTTGTATCCTTTTGGATGGGAGCGTATTTTTAACTATCAGAGAAGTTTTGATTAGCCAAAAAATTTGATGCTAAACAATGCATTCTTCTCTGCTCATTCACCTAATCAACAATGAGCATTTTTTATTTTTGTTCATCTTTTAGTCATCTACGCCAAAAATAAAACTTTATGAAACTTTCTCTTCATAATCAAATCGATATCAATTTTTGACGCAAATATGCACACACACGCACGTACACACGCACGCTTACACGCATACACACACACGCATACACACACACACGCATACACACACATACGTACACCCCCACACACGGGCAGGAGTTCATACAAGATCTCGAAAACGGAAGCAGCTTCTACATACGGAGACGACAGGATGCTGATCGAGAAGTACATCGACAATCCTCGCCACATCGAAGTGCAGGTCATGTGTGACGCGCACGGGAATGCTGTCTACCTCAACGAGCGTGAGTGCTCCATTCAGAGGAGGAACCAGAAAGTGATCGAGGAAGCGCCAAGGTCGGTCGGTCGGTTGCGCGTGCCGCCACGTAATTGCTCAGATGTTTATTTATTTATTAAAAGTAGATTGTTGAGTTGTGGGTGTTAAAATTGTTAAATCAACAAATATACTCAGAAACGCACGTACACAACACATACATGCACACAAACACATATACACACACAAACACACATACACGCACACATACGCCTGTACATTTGTAGTACCTTCATTGACCCTGAGACGAGGAAACAGATGGGTGAACAGGCGTGCATGTTGGCAAGATCTGTCCAGTATTCATCTGCTGGTAAGATGATGGTGATGGTGAAAATGATGTCATTCATTCATTCATTCTTCATTCACTCAGTAACTCGCCCATTTTATACACAACTTATACACAGGCACAGTTGAATTTTTAGTTGACAGCAAGCGGAAGTTCTACTTCCTGGAGATGAACACGCGTCTGCAGGTCGAGCATCCGATCACTGAATGCATCACCGGCATTGATATCGTCCATCAGATGATCAGGTCCGCCAAAGGTTGTGCTACTGCTTCTTACCGGATATTCACACACACACACACACACACACACACACACACACACACACACACACACACACACACACACACACACACACACACACACACACACACACACACACTGCCACACATTTATACACTCCGAGACATCAATACATGACATTCAAATAAACACGTCGTACATATAAATATACACATCGTACATTCCGTGTACAAATATACACACCGTACAAATTGTTTTGCATGCATTTACTGTACATTTACAAACTTCTACCTATTCACACATACACATTTTGTACACACCCAGTCACTTTGATACACACTCATACACACTCATACACATACAATTATTTTTCCTCTAGGACCCATACAAGAATTTCGGCATTCCATCCATTGGTCGTCTGTCCAGGTACATTGAACCAACACACCTGCCAAATGTTAGTTTTTTTTCATTTGTTCGTTCGTTCATTTATTCATTCGTTCATTCATTCTTTCGTTTGTTCGTCGTTCGTTCGTTTGTTCGTCGTTCGTTCGTTTGTTCGTTTGTTCATTCATTCATTCGCTCAACGAAGGTTCGTTGTGACAGCGGCATAACGGAGGGCAGTGACATCAGTGTCTACTACGACTCTATGATCTGTAAAGTTGGTCATGTTGATGATGACGATGGAGATGACGATGATGATAAGGATGTGATGATGGTTATGATGATAATGACGGGGATTATGATGATGATGATAATGATAATGATGATGATGATAACGATGATGCTGGTGACGATGACGATGACGATGATGATGATGATGATGACGATGATGATGATGATGATGACGACGATGATAATGATGATGACGACGACGACGATGATGATGATGACGTTCGACACCACTAACCCAGCTTGTAACGTACGGCAAAACGAGAGATGACGCCCTGAAGACCATGGCACAAGCGTTAGATACATACGTCATCAGGGGTTATTATTATTATTATTGTTATTATTATTATTATTATTGTTGTTTTTTGTAATTATTATTACTATCGTTATTATTATCATCTTTATCATCATTTCCATCATCATCAACATCACCATCATCTCCATCATCATCATCGTCACCACCATCATCCCTATCATCATCATCGTCACCACCATCATCCCTATCATCATCATCGTCACCACCATCATCTCCATCATCATCATCACCACCATCATTATCATCTCCACCAACATCATCATCACCCAGGGGTGAAGCACAACATCCCACTCTTAAGAGATGTCGTCACTGAGGAACGCTTCGTGAAGGGTGACATCAGCACCAAGTACCTCTTCGAAGTTTACCCTAACGGATTTCAAGGTCATTTGAGTTATTTCAAGGTCATTTCATCGTCATCGTTATCATCATCCCCATTATCATCGTCGTTATCATCATCGTTATCATCATCGTCATCATCATCGTCATCGTTATCACCATTCTCATCATCATCGTCATCATCATCGTCGTCGTCATCATCATCGTCATCATTATTTTCACCAACCCTGATTTTTTTCCTCTCAAATTAGGCAAAATGCTAAAGCCGGATGAGAAACTCAGATTGGTCGGTATCGCCAGTTGCGTAAAAGTTAAGGACGACCTAATCAACATCGTCGAGTGAGTTAGTCGTAATTTTATTGGCTGAAATGTGTAATAGACAAACGTTCATTGGTTGATCTTGATTAGTTTTCAAACGCTCATTGGTTGATCTGTTTAAATTTTATTTAATCTTCAAACGCCTATTGGTTCATGTTTTTAAGGTTTGTTTATCTTCGAACGTTTATTGGTTGACATATCTACATGTATTAACGTTTCATTGACCTATTTATTTTCAAATGCTTCAATCACAAAGCAACATAGCAAAAGGCAGACTTGACCGTTGGACGTTCGAATCGAGGTATGGCGAGGAATCATTCAAAGTGGACATCAAATTGAAGAACAAAGTCTTCCATGTCGGTTGGACTGAATCATTGGATGAATGAACGAGTCAATGAATGAATGAATGAATGAATGAATGAATGAATGAATGAATGGATGGATGGATGGATGGATAGATGGATGGATGGATGAATGAACGAATAAATGAATGAATGAGTGGATGAATTGGTGAATCAGTGAATAAACGAGTGAATTGATGAATGATTGACTGACTGAATGAATGAATGAGTGTGTGAATGTTTTTTTCTTTCACTCAATAGGTGAAGGTGAACGAGCAGGAAATGACGATCGCCGACAACTTCAACCTCTCAACTCCCGTCTTGAATGTCCTCGTGAATGGACAGCCGGAACTGTATCAGGTGATGATGACGTCATTGGTGGTGGTGGTGATGATGATGATGGTCGTGACGATGAGGATGTTGATTTTGATGACGATAACGGTGGTTTTGATGATGATGATGGTGATGGTGATGATGATGATGATGACCTTAAACTCTCCTACAGTTGATCGCCAATGACGTTGGACATGTGAAAGTGCAATATGAAGGGACAGTGGTAAGTGATGATGACGGTGATGATAATGATGATGATGGTGATAATGATGATGATGATGATGACGGTGATGATAATGGTGGTGATGATGATGATGATAATAATGATGGTGATGATGATTATGATGATGATGATGATGATGAGGTCGTGGCTGCTGCTGCTGCTTCTACTACTGCTGCTGTCGACGAACAAGAGGCGTCTCTGATGATGACGATGATGATAATAGTCTTAATAACGATGATGACGATAGCGTCGAGTGATGATAATGATTACAGTAATGACCACCATCATCATCATCATTACAATCATGTTCAGTAATGACCACCACCATCATCATCATCACCATTCCAGTTTGAGGTCAACGTCCTCGAGCGTCATGTTTCAGACCTGCAGAAATACATGCCGAAGAAGGTGAAGATACAGAAGGACACCCTGGTCATCGCCCCCATGTCTGGGGTTGTCAAGTCGGTGGCCGTCAAAGTTGGAGACGTGGTCAGTTTTTTGATTGACTGATTGGTTGGCCAGTTTTTTGATTGACTGATTGGTTGGTCAGTTTTTTGATTGACTGATTGGTTGGCCAGTTTTTTGATTGACTGATTGGTTGGCCAGTTTTTTGATTGACTGATTGGTTGGTCAGTTTTTTGATTGACTGATTGGTTGGTCAGTTTTTTGATTGACTGATTGGTTGGCCAGTTTTTTGATTGACTGATTGGTTGGCCAGTTTTTTGATTGACTGATTGGTTGGCCAGTTTTTTGATTGACTGATTGGTTGGTCAGTTTTTTGATTGACTGATTGGTTGGTCAGTTTTTTGATTGACTGATTGGTTGGCCAGTTTTTTGATTGACTGATTGGTTGGCCAGTTTTTTGATTGACTGATTGGTTGGTCAGTTTTTTGATTGACTGATTTGTTGGCCAGTTTTTTGATTGACTGATTGGTTGGTCAGTTTTTTGATTGACTGATTGGTTGGTCAGTTTTTTGATTGACTGATTGGTTGGTCAGTTTTTTGATTGACTGATTGGTTGGTCAGATTTTTGATTGATTGGTTGTTTATCTGGGTGCCTCTGACGCTATATGGAACAATGCGTTAATCAATTTTCATAACGATCTTATCATCGCTGTACTTATTTTATTTTAAATAAAGAGCAATGATGACTAACTATGATGATTATGATTTTATTTTAATTTTGTTTCAATCATGACTATTTCTCTATTAATTAATTAATTATTGATTTTAGGCATTTGATGAAAAATAAAAGATCTGTTCCCATTATTATTTTTATTATCATTATTATTTTTATTAATTGGCTTGTTGATTGAATGGCTGTTGACTTATTGATTGATCGATTGGTGGGTTGGTCTGTTTGACTGTCTGGCTGTTTGTTAGCTGGTTGGTTGTTTAGTTAGATTTATCAATAGTTTCCATGTTTGATAAGGATGATGATCGTAATGTTGGTGATGATGATGATGACGATGATGATGGTGATGACGATGGTGATGAACGCAGGTCGCCGAAGGACAGGAAGTCCTTGTTTTGGAAGCCATGAAGATGCAGAACAGTCTGACTGCTGCCATTCAGGGCAAGGTTTGCATCGATTGTGCGTGCTCGTGTGCGTGTGTGTGTGTGTGTACTTGTGCGAGATTGTCTGTGTGTACTTGTCTGTGTGTACATGTCTGTGTGTACGTGTGTGTATTTGTCTGTGTGTGCGTGTGTGTACGAGCGCTTGTTATTAATCCGACAGATCAAGAAGTTGAATGTGAAGGTCGGAGCTACGGTCAGTGCCGAAGATGTTCTCATCGAATTGGAGTAACGTATCCTGATATATGCATATTGTTGTTCGTGTATCATGATATCTACATGCCTATATTTTCGTATATCATGATATATATATATATATATCTTTCATCTTTCACGTCAGTACTGTATGATATGATGTAGGTATCATTGACGAAAGCGATTAACAATAATTAGGGTGAGATTTTGGTAATTGTATTTAAAAAAAAATAATTTGTGAATAATATTTTTTTGCAATTCGATAATTTGAACTTTGGGTTTTTTTGGCCTGAGTGATGAAGATGATGAAGACGATGAAGCCGATGATAAAGACTATGACGATGATGGATGGTGATAAGGTTAACGATGAAGACGATGTTGATTGTGATGTATCAATACTTAATTTTTTTTATATTGCAATGTTTTTCAATATTTCTTCTACTGTTTATCATGTTTGTAATTGATTTAATATTTTTTGTTGTTATTATTAGTCAGGAAACCGATTAGTTTCTTTGTAGATACAATTTTTTTTTGATTTACTGTCACTCTACATCAATCAGTTTGCGTTTTTTTGGCATATTTAGTTATTTGAGTTTGTAAATTTTATTTGTTTTTTTTTTTTCGGAATTTCAAATGTTTCATTTCACAATATTAAAGAAGCCTTTTCATCTAAGTGTCTTTTAATATTTTAAATACATTATAATCCATTTTTGATGATTTATTATTAAATCATGATTATATATTAGAAAATATTTAAAAAATTCGTTCAGAAATTTATTTTATTAACGATAAAAAGCATAAATACATTAATATTTGTAATTAATTATTCATATTATGTTAATAACACGTAAATTATATGTTAATATTAAACGCATCACGTGCCTTAGTATTATTTACTTATAAATCTTGTTCATCAATTTACACTCAAGTCTACAGGCTACTGACTACTACTGCTGTTTTCAATATTTCGTTATTGTTATTAATGCTGTTATTTTTTTACTACTACTGTTACTACTACTTCTACTACTACTACTACTACTACTACTACTACTACTACTGCTACTACTAACTATTACTACTACTACTACTACTACTACTACTACTACTACTACTACTACTACTACTACTACTAAACTACTACTACTATTACTACAAAAAAATCAATAATTAATTTATTATTATTTTTTTTGCTGTTGCTATTGTTATTTTTATTATTACTATAGTATTTGTTTAGTTTTCGAGATATATATATATACATTACATATATATATAAAACAAAATTTTGTTTTATTTCGATTGATTATGTTTAATATAATTTTATATGCCTTTTTTTCATAATAATAATAAAATAATAATAATAGGGATGTTTATTTCCAAGCCATCTTCTTTCGGAACCTTTTTTATTTATATTGTGTTTTGTTTTGTTGTGTGGATATCATCGTTATAATTACTCTTGTTGTTATTATTATTGTTATTATTATTATTTGTTTTTGTTATTATTCACAAATAAGTTATTTTTTATTGTTTTCATTGCGCCCTGTGTTTTTCGAAACTCGGGTTTTATCTGGACGGACCTTAAATATATCATGCGTTGTAAAACAGATTACACTTCTATACGCAAAGATGCACGCACACGCACACACACACACACAACACACACACATTTTATATCTTCTAGGTCCTGAATCTCGTTCGTTCCAAAAAACGGCTGATTTTGAAAGATTCAAAATAAGGTTAGATAATATCGAAGTCGCCATGCCTAAGTTTTTTTTTATTTTAAAATATATGTTGCTTTCTTGATGAACCTAATCCCTAACCGTATGTTTGTGTGTGCGCGTGCGTGCGTGTGTGTTGATTTGAGAAAATTTTCAATTGTTTTTAAATTTTAATCTTTAAACATAATACATTCGACGTAAAAACAAATTTAAGAATTTTCAAGAGAACACTTTTTATTATCAAAAAAACTCAAGATTTTATTATTAATAGACCAGGCCACGACTGAATTACTGCAGGCCACAACTGAATGAAGCAGTTGGTATTTTAAACTTGCGAATGACCTGTGAAGACATAATTTTCAAAATTTTTGACACTTGGATTCCACGTTGCCGCATAGCAGGCCCATGCAATATCATAACCACCAAACGCCCCTCTCGCCTCAATTCCGCCACAAAATTCACCCTCGTTGCAATTCAAATCTGACGGCTTTGGTTAATAACAAAAAAAAAGGAATTAATTTTGACCTTTGAAACAATAAGAATAAATTTTTTTTTAAAATGTGAAAGGTTGTATTATTTTTTTTATTTTTTAAAAGAATTCAATCGTTACTACCCAAGTTTCACCAGCGCATCTGCAGTTGGAACACTCAACGACATTGTTGCAGTTTTTCTTGCACGGCTTGGTTTCTCGGTAATTGAGTCCCTCTTTGAAAATATGAAGCAGTGCAAAAATTGATTTGTAGTATTCTCTACGCATTTATTAACATCAATAGGATTTGTTATGAAAAAACGAACATTTTTACCTTAAACCTCTCACTAAAAAATGACCGCAATCGTTGATCAAAAGATATGCTTATCATACATTTGCGTGTTATATGAGGAAATTTTTCTCGCTTGAATTGGATCTCTGCAACTCAAAACCAAGGCATCACAACATAAAACAATCATCATTCAGTGCTGTTTCTACTTTAAAATGTTGGAAAAAATAAACAAAAGATTTCCTGACCATATTCACTTCGATCTGTTGGATGCAAATAAAACTGGTTGTTATCCTTGTTCAGCACAGGCTCGTAGCAAGTCCACATTTGGTAATAGCGCATCAAATCGGCTGCGTCCAACCCGCAGAATTCATTCTCTTGACACACTAAATTTGACCACTGCCAGTTCAGTTAATTGTAGTACATATAATAGAAATATTGACGAAAGCAGTATATTAAATTAATTTATTTAATTGTTAGCAAGGTCTTGTTGAAAAAAAAGTAAAAGAACTTCAATAAATATTTATATATATTGTAAACTACTACTACTGCTACTATTACTTCTTTTCTGCTATTACTACTACTACTACTACTACTACTACTACTACTACCACTACTACTACTACTACTACTACTACTACTACTACTACTACTACTACTACTACTACTACGCTTACTATTATTATTATAAGTAAGTTTATACTCGTATGTGTTTGCATATTTTTTTACTAAATTTAAAAATTTTTAAAAATTTAACCAACACGAGAACAAACACAGTTGGAGCATAAGTTAGAATGGCGACAATTAACTTTGCATGGTCGGCTTGCTATATATCCATTTTCTAAAAAAATTTATTCATCTTATTTTATTTACGAAGCTCAGAACAGATCTAAGGACCCATCCGTTTGTAAAATTGATTGAACATCGTGGAAATAGCGCTTTATAAACTAATTGATTGATCAATTTAAAATTTTTTTAAATAAATGAGTGTTTGGGCCAAATAAATATAAGAAAAAATATGAATTATACCCAGGTCGATTATTTTTTCTTGGAAACAAATATTAAAAAAAATTGTAATATAAATGATTGATTAATAATTAAAATTTCAGAAAAATTTTACCTAACCCAAGGAATGGATCGACCCAACCAGAATCGTGAAGGCAAAAATGAATAAATTGATGGAGCACATATTTTCAATTCAACGAATCTTTGAAAGGTGTTGCCACGTATATATATATATTTATATACTTTTTTTGCTAACTTTAATCGTATTAGGTTTTATTTCAAATGTTGTTTGTTTAAAAAGCAGGCATGAGTTATTGCAAACACACATGTGAAAATTTAATTATAAAATGTTTTAAATTGTTGTTCTCTATAATTTTAAATACGCGCGTGCGTGTGTGTGTGTTTGTGGTGTGTATGCCGTGTGTATGTGTGGGTTAGGTATGTGTTATGAAAAATTAAACATTTTTTAAAATTAAAAAATTGGTAAAACTCCTTATATATTTGTTAAAACAAATGTATGAAATCAAATTTCAACAATTTTACGAACATTAAAAATAAATTTTTTATAAAAACTGATGAAATTTTTTGAAAATTTCAACCAAATTTGAATGTAAACATCAAACAGTTGCATTGAAAATATAAGTTTGTTTTTGACCCAACACACATGTTGAAATTGTTCACGCCCAAACCAAACGCGCATATCAAAATCTTTCTTAAAAGTTTCAGTAAACTACAGTTTAAAAAAGAAAACTGCATTGCAAAAAATCGCAACATGTTACATTTGAACATCATGGTAGAAAACCTGTAGCCGTGAAACACTGAACCACAAAATGGAGCCATTTACTTTTTAAGAGTTGGATGTTGTTAGAACAAAAATTAGGAAAAGTTAACCAATTACTTTCCCCTGTTTCGTTAAGAATTGCATTAGTATGATTCAAGTTTTATTGTAGATGCAGATAAACTTTGGGTACCATGAATAAATGAGTGCTTGGTACAAAATGTGCTTCAAATTCCTGCTGTATTGATCACATGAGTCCTTCAACCAATTAAAATAAAAATGCATTTGCTACGGTACTGCTGCAAAATGCATTAACGTGATGGAACAAGTTTTAAAAAGTCACGTGATTAGGATGCCAAACTGGTGTGAGAATTTAGTGTCGACAAAGAATGAAAAAACGAAGTTTTTGACAAATGAATGCCAAAATGGTTCAGCCCGTTTTATCGTTTGAAGCATTACCTTTACAAGATCAATCTATCTACATTAATTTCAGAGTTTTAGGCAAAATGTTTTGGCAGCTAATTTGTATACTACTAAAATAAAATAAATAAATGCTCACATTTACTTTGTAATATGTACCATTTGTTTTAAGCGTTGATACGTGTTAATAGGCATAAATTCACGGAATTTGTTTTGTAGTGGGTGTTGATTTCTTACCTGAAACGTTTTAATGTTTGGTTTTCTTTTATCATAATATTTGTTCTTCGTTCAAATTTGAAATTGAACTGAATATTGTTTGAGGGTTTGAAGAAACAAAATTGTTTTAAATAAAGTTATAAACGTCACGGCACTAGGAGATAATATCAGATGATAATAAATATTTAGATAGTATCAGTGGCGTAGAGAGAATTCGGCGCTGAATATTTTAGATGCACTGGAGAGGCTTGAGATGTCTGCAACTTACATCAAGTCCTGGTAAATGAAAAAAAATTTTTTAAAACCCCACAAGCAAAACGCATTTTGCCTCTATTAAGATTAATCAGTAACCCGTTTCAAATGGTGTTTAGAAGATTCTAAGACGTACCAATTCCTTTACGTAACATGAAGTATAACATGAAGTTTTGCCCTTGAATTTGCAGTTCAAAAATTATTAGCTGTTTGAGCCAGGGATTAAGCAACCGCCAAACAATTATTCTCGATACTTCAGCTGCATTTTTACACATATAAAATTTATACAAAATCTTATTTCAATTAGTGATCTTATTTCAATTAGTGATATAAACGTCAAATGTAATATAGTAATAATAGAGATAGATAAGATTTAGTCAGTCGTGATTATATTATATTGTGCCATGAGATTTTCATGAATTCACCGGAGCAAGTTTGATCAGTAGACAATCTTGTCTTGCTTGTGAAAATCTAGAAGATATCAAGGTTTGTACTTCATAAATTGTTTTACAAAATTATTTAAAAATTTCTGAGTTTGTTCTCAAGGTTTCGGTTGGGTTAGGTGTCTTAACGTGTTTCGTAAATAAAAATTCATATATTTATTTATATTTTGTTTTCAATTGTTATGTTAATTTAATGTTATTTTCAATAAATTTTATGAAAAGTTTTATTAATTTGATTTTATAACTACAACAAATTAAATTTAACGTAACAGACTGAAAGGATGAGGAACCTGACACTCCTGTTGATTTGTAGTCTATCTGCAGTGGAGTTATGCGGTGAAATAATTTTTTATTTTATATAACTTTTCTTAGTGCACTTATATGAAGAGTTAAATTTTATAATAAATAAACTTTTGAAATAACAAACAGGTTGATGAAATATGTTAATTTTTTGAAGGAAACGTAAGATAACTGAAAAAGATGAATAAATTCATACAGTTCCGTCAATGTTCAATGTGATGAGTCGGAGCAATGTTTAGCGAGGTCCTACTTTATGGGATTTGTTCGGAATCTGACTCTAAAGACATGTGACCGGTCTTAAAAATTACCGAGATGACAAACCGGACATAATAAACATTTAAATGGAATATTCTTCTATAAAATCCAACCAACTCCGTCACTACTGTTGTTACTCTGAGACAAACTATGAGACAATAAAATATAAACAACATGCGTACGTAGAAAACATTGATCAGACAGTAAAACCGGAGTGAAGTAAATATTGATCAATTAATTTTATTAAACAATAATGAGATTTCAACAAAAACGTTTGATTGCTCTTAAGATTTCATATCCTATCATTTCATATCATATCATTTCTTATCATATCCTCTCCTATCATGTACAATGTTTGTACTGTTGTTGACTCTCTTGAGTAACACGAGAAAAGCAATGTAGGTACATAGGTAACTTTACATCGGTTACTATGTAACTTTACTTAAACTAGTGCCCTTTATAGCGATCTGTTTGCATGTTATTTCGAAAAATCTTTTTTTCATGGAGAATTTAACAAAATTCCTCTAAATTCTTTCAGATTTTTTGAAATTAAGTACTTTGGCAGTAAAATAATTTTGGAAAATTGGTTTATCTTATCCATTTTTAAAATCTCGTCGTCGGATTTCGTAGGAGAGTTTGTGCTACAGAATAAAGTGGTGATATATTTTTCAATAATTTATACAATACAAGATTAAATAATATACCCTTGTTAAGTCAGCACAGCACTTTTTTACCCAAAGCATTTTTGCAATTGTCTACTTGTTACCTGCGTTTTCTGTCATGACTACTTGCTAGTTAGCGTGCGGCAGAACGATATGTAACATTCACGTTAACACGTTGCTATGTTCTTTCGGAGTGCTTATTATTGATTTGTTGAAATATTCCATAACCAACATCACAGATTTCCTATCTATATCTAAGGGTTTCTTCTCAGTTATATAGTATAGCAAATCAAACATTTTATATAAGGCAAGTACAAGAGAATTTTTCAAGCAAACATCAGTCAAATAAAAATCTACATATCTCATTTAGCTTGTTTTTCTTCGAACGCTTTGAAAATCCTGGTAGTTGAATAGATAAAAGTTTCATTTTCTTTAACAATAATTTCAAAATATTTTTCATATTAAAATCAAAATAATTCATTGAAATTTTTCAAAGCTCAGCTATGCACGTTTCTCTAGCGTCTAGTACTCAAAATAGAAAAAAATTTAAGAAATTTTTGTCGGTTATCTTCAAAACTGCACGGACGACAGATGAATCACATTTAGCTTTAAATATGTTGGGCGCACTAAGGGTTACGAGATGTTCGACAATAATTAGTATTACAAACTTAAATCAAGCCTTGGAAATTGAAAAAAAAACTAGTAAGAATACCTAAAACCCTATAAATAAAACGCTTCAGTCTCTATTGAAATACGGCAGTAATTCTAGTGGTGCTTGGACAATTTTAAGATGTACTAATTCCATTCCATTAAACATGAGATGTCGTCTATTCAGTTTTACACACACAGACATCACGCACGCACGCACACACACACCACACACATACACCCACACACACACAGACACACGAATTGTGAAGCTAAGCGTTGCGCAGCACTGCGCATGCCCAATGCGACTATCATTTTAGCTAACAATGGAGCGTTAGGAATATTCCGTAATTTTTTCGTTCTCTTATTATTATTGATATTATTTTCAAGATTTTATTATTATTTTTATTCTTAATTAAAAATTATAATGTAATTTTATTTATTATCATTTTTTAAAACATTCTTCACCAGTATTGCTACCATATTATCACCACCATCACCATTATAATTATTATTTAATTATAATATTAATAATAATAATATTATTATTATTATTGTTATTGCTGTTTTTTTACAACCACTGCCATCCACATTTCAACGACTACAACAATGTCATTACAACAATTCATGTTATTATTATTTACCTAATTATTTAAATTATTGTTGTTACTAATTTATTTTTATTATTTTCATTCTTCTTTCGCTTCTTCTTTTTTTTCACAATTTTATATATTCATAATTTGCCTTAATGATAGGTCAAAACATTAAGGCCATTATTATCTAACTCATTAACATTATTATTATTATCATTATCATTGTAAATAATAATAATATTATTATAAATTATTATTATTGTTATAATAATAATAATAAAAATAATGTTGTTGTTTTTCAAGTTGTTGTTGTTGTTATGATAGTATAAAATTTTTTATTATTATTTTTATTATTAGTAATATTTGCAACGCACGTGATCCTAATAAATGTTCTTCATAGTAAACTACTGTCGCTGATCATTTCCATTCGTGCTTTAAGAATGTTAACAACAGTGTTTAGTTCAATTTTTAACCATTATATTGCGTAGTTTCGAGGTTGCTCAGCTTAACAATTTTAGGCGATTTGAACCAGGGGATCGAGTAACTTTCTTTTATAAGGGGCCAGGTTAGAAATTATTTTGGTTCTTGCGGGCCGTACCATCATATTTATATATATATTTGAATAAAATGTCGGACCTTCTTATAACGAACTTTTATAGTACGAAAACCTCTATATGACAAATTTGGTGCATTTTGCATTCTTTTAATTTTCCAGAACCATATTTATTGTTTCTTATTCTTGTATTCTAGTTATTTTTACGAATCCTCCCATGATTTTAATGGAATCGGAATCATCGTTGCATGGAGCAAAGAATAAATTTCACTTTTAAAACTTTAATTTTTCCAATTATACCATGTATTATTACTTTCTGTTATCAAATTAAATTAGGTTGTTTTTCATAAATATATTGCGATATAAAATTTTATCCTGGACAAATTCTCTATAATGAAATTTTTTTTCTGTAACCATCAATTTTTTATACGGAGGTCCAACTGTATTTCTAATTCATATACCCTAAGTTATCGGCCCCTAGTATAAAATATGAATAAAAACTTACACTAGTGTCTACACGTTTATATTTAGCAGTTACCAAAAAATAGCAGTTACAGTTTTTGACACATATTTATAAATAATTGCAACTGTTAATGATTTATTTTTGTAATTTTCTTGATATAAGTGACTATTATCATTAAATTTGAAATGAAGTCAATCAGCGAGGAAGTAAAAAATTGTTTAATTATGTTACATATTTGAGCGGGGGTTTTGTGAAAAAAAAAATCTTTTTTCTGATTTGTTTGACATATATCCAACTAAAACTGTTTGTTCACAGAACGTGTACCCAAGCAGAAAAAGTTTGACAAAAAATTTAAAACTTAACTCAAACAAGTAGTTAAATTAAATAAAGTAGCTAAAAGGCGGGATATTCTTTGTGTAAAATATTTATAAAATACAGGTTTCTAATTGAGGACTTAAAATTATGATGTTATGATATGATGTTAAATAAGCAAAAATTTAAAGTTATCTCAGACAAAAAACTCAACTAAACACAATTATTGCGGGCCTCATGCATTGAGCAGACGGACCTAAGTTTTTGCACCACCACACCGCTGAACAATTATTCACAATTTTTCAGCTGCATTTATACAAAACATAGGCCCACGCTCATGTTTGTAAGACATACAAAATATATCATATCAAAGTATCTTATTTCAAATAGTTACACAAACGTCCAATGTCATATAGTAATGATGGAGAAAGGTAAGGTTTAGTCAGCCGTGAAAGTTTGTATATAAAGAGATGAGATTATCATAAATCCACCAGATCAGTGGTTGCTTGTGACAATCTAAAAGATTCCAAAGTTTGTGCTTCATTTATTATTGTAAAATAATTATTTAAAATTTTCAGAGTTTGTGTACGAGGCATGGATATAAGGTTTTAGTTTCATGGTATAAGGTTTCAGTTGGGTTAAATGTCTCAAAGTGTTTCGTAAATAGAATTTCATATATTTACATTTGATGTTCAATTATTATAATATATTAAAATTTTTCTCCATGAAGTTCATACATAACGTAACAAATCCAATCCAACGTGACAGACCGAAAAGATGAACAACCTCACTTTGGTGCTGCTTTGTGGTCTCTGTGCTGCGGCGCTGTGCTCTGCCGACCGCGGCTATTCCGGTGAAATAATTTTTTATTTCAAATAACATTTCATACAGCACTTGAATGAAAAAAATAAATTTTATTATAAATGAACTTTTAAAAATAACAAAGGTTCCGGTTCGAGTGGCTCAAGTAACACATACGACTGTGGTAACCATAGTCCTTGCAACACTACTAACACTGCTGTGAACGGGTACTACTATCCGTATAGTGCAGACACAACGAAATTCATTCAATGCTCTGCATGGGGACAATGTTATGTGATGACTTGCCCTGCATACCTTCATTGGAATGATGTTGTTAAGAACTGCACATGAGCGCAAAGCATTTTATGTTTATTGGTGCAATACACTTGTTACAATATACTTTATTATTTTCATAACGCTCAAATGATCTATCATCTATGGCTATGATCTATGGCTATCATCTAGATGTTAAATTTTAAAAAAGAATTTATGTTTATTGGAAAATATTTCAGACTATTAACAGTGTTTTTAAATTAGAAATTTTACAATTACTAAACTTTAAAAATTGTTATTTTAAATAAAGCATTAAAACTCAAACCACTTTGTGTTTTTTCTTTTGCTAAAAAGCATTTAAGCGTACCAACTTAATATTAGTTAATTAATAACAAATAAAAGTGTACAGAGTGATGTTGCTTTTCATTATCGTTTTTTCAAATTTGAGAAAAAGATAAATTTATTGAAAATTTATGATTTTAGATAGATATTTCAGATAAATTTCCACTAACACTATAAACTGAACACCATGTACTCCCTAGGTTAGCAATCGTTAGAAATCAAATAGACTTTTTATAGAAGAGTAGTCGTGAAGTTAGCCTTAGAGATTTCTAACTACAAACATATTAACGCCAAACATTTGGTAGAATTTATAGAATATTGTAAATATATATATATATATATATATATATATATATATATGCATATGAGATTTGCCATATTCATTATATATATCCATGTTTTTTAGCTATAGAATTCTAATTTAGAATCACTAACTTGTTAGAGTGGAAGTTTGACAAATTTAATAAACTGTTTGTTTTTTTAAAATAAATTAAAATATATTGAATACGGACAAATAGTAAAATTACTTATTTTATTCATTATCAATTCATTTCATCTTAACAATTTGTGATATTGTTGTAAGTTATAGCAACTGCATTATTACAACAAATTTACAACAATTTTTTATTGTTATTATTATTATTAATGTTATGTAACGTTGAGTCAACTTCACACAATGGTCTCATTATAAGTCGATAAAAATTATTTTTCAAAAATTTAAATACATTCCCTCATTATTCAGACCTTATAATTCATCATTGTGTGTGGTGTGTGTGTGTGTTATAATTTGTGTATGTATGTGTATGTGTGTTGTGTATTTGTATTTGCGGTGTATTTGTGTGTGTGTTTGTTTGTGTGGTGTGTGTGCTAATGCCAGCTGCAAATAAATAAATATGTCTTACACGCTAATGCCAGTTGCAAATAAATTAACATGTATTGATGAATGGACTAGTGACAAAAGTCCCGAGTTATTACAAATTCGAAATTTACGTTACTTAAATAAAATTTGAAATTTTTTTCTCGTGTAGGTTTGTTTAATAACACGAGCGTGTGCATGTGCAATTTAGGAATTTAATAGTCATCCATCACAAAGGATATGATTAATTCGGTTGTGAAAGTGTATATAAAGTAATGGTGTTGTCGTGAATTCATCTGAAAAAGATTGGTCAGAACATACCTGTTTGTTACTAGCTTGAAAAGGTTTTTGCTTTTTTTAATTAAATTATATTCATTTTTAATTGAATTTAGCAACAATTTTTTTAGTATTTTTTAGAGTTTTCAACAGCAAACATAGAGCACTTGCACTTTTTCAATAACTTTCACATGAAATATTATAATTTTGATTTTGAAACGTTCATTTCGTGAAATTCATAAGTGTAATTTTTGTTAATTTTACGTTTTAATTATATTTAGATCTGGCGTTGAAACGATGAATAAACTGACACTTGTGCTAATGTTTAGCCTCCTCGCTGCGGTGATAGGCCAGCCAGCCGAAGGTGAGAAAAAACATTTTTTTTTCAAATGACATTCTCCAGTGACTTTTGAGAAAAAAAAAGAAAAACTAAATTTTATATTTTCAATTTTTGCAGATGATAATGGAGTCAAAACTGGAAACAATGATGACGATAACGGTGGTAATGGTAACGAAGTAAATGATGATGGTGATAATAAAAATGATGATGGTAATGGTAAGAATGATGATGGAAAAGGTAGTGATGATGGTGATAATGATGACGATGACAAAGTTGATGATGATGATGGCCATAGTATCAAAGACAAACCATCCACACGAAAACTCTTCGTCGCGATTACTACCAAAAAAGCAAAAGACGTCGTAACCTCAGCTAAAAAACCAGCTACTGCGATTACTACAAAAGATAAACTAACACCAGCCGCCACTACAAAGACGACAGCTACCACTCGCGCAAATGCTGGGATAACCACCACCATTAAACCAATTGGTAAAGAAACAACTACTATTAAGCCAAATGGTAAAGAAACAACTAAACCTAATGGTAAAGAAACAACTACCATTAAGCCAAATGGTAAAGAAACAACTAAACCAATTGGTAAAGAAACAACTACCATTAAGCCAAATGGTAAAGAAACAACTAAACCAATTGGTAAAGAAACAACTACCACTAAACCAAATGGTAAAGTAAACACCACCACCACTAAACCAAATGGTAAAGAAACAACTACCATTAGGCCAAATGATAAAGCCACCACTACCACTAAACCAAATGGTAAAGAAACAACTACCATTAGGCCAAATGATAAAGCCACAACTACCACTAAACCAAATAGTAAAGTAAACACCACTACCACTAAACCAAATGTTAAAGAAACAACTACGATTAGGCCAAATGATAAAGCCACCACCACCACTAAACCAAATGTTAAAGAAACAACTACCATTAGGCCAAATGATAAAGCCACCATTACGCGATCAGCGGTAACAGTCGCCACCACAAAAACTATCGGAAATGCCAACAATACTGGATACAACTGCGGTGATAATAATCCATGCATATCGGCCAACGCCGTACTCAAATTATTTTACTTTCCATACGAGGGAGACAGAACTAAATTTGTGCAGTGTTCTCAGTGGGGGCAATGTTACGTGATGCCCTGCTCTCCAGGGCTCGTTTGGGACGTTGATAAATTGACATGTCTTTGAATATGTTTGATATGACCAAGTAACCTCTACCAGCCAGCGTGAAAACCATTATTTATATGGGTTGTTGATTTTTCATAATATTCTTCTTCATTTTCAAAGTTTTAAATAAAATTTTTTGACGTGTTTAATGTTTAAAAGATATTTTTTTAAAACATTTACGATTTTTATGCATTTTGATTCAAAATTTTTACGTGTTTTAATATTTTGGAATCATTATTTTGCAATAAACGCTTTGAATATTCAAACCGTTTTATTTTTGTTCTTGTAACAAATGCATCCTGAATTGCCAGCTTAAACAAATAAACGTTTATAAAATGTTTAAGTTTTAACGCATAAGACAACATTGCATCGATAACGATTTCTTCCCAAAATAAACTTTTTTTATTCATTAACTACTATTCGTCTGTTGAAAAGAACTACCAACAAAATATTTAACAAAAAAAAATTTATTGGAAAAACATCAAACCAGTAAAAGTAATAAAATAAAGTTAAAATAATGACTTTCCAGACATACAAAGCTGGAATCAAAACATGGAGAGGATTTCCAAAAATAAAATATTCAAGTCATACCACCTTAATATATGAAGTACATATTGCGATATATTAACATTTTGGCTAAATAATTAAACCAAATAGAATTAGTTTATTGACGCTAATAATTATTAATTTTATATTAATTATTATTATCATTAATATTTAGCAACTGATGTCCGTAATATATTTAGTTATTAATCATGCTTAGAATACTTAAATTAACACTTCAAAATGGAGGATTAGTTTGACGCTTTAAATAAATTAATATTTCAAACACAAAGCTCTAAATAGATTATTCTAGCAATTAATTATTTTGTTTTATCATGATTATTCAGTTAATTATATTATTATATTAAAAAATTTTATATCTTTGTTCGATGAATTTTCAACACAATTTGTTAAAATATTTAAACAAATTCAAGGCACCTTTATATATAAGCTGTTCCATATAATTAGAACATAAAGAGCTGTTCATTAAACAAAAAACACATCTTCGGAGCATCACTTGTTTATGTAATATTTATATAATATGGAAATCCCAATTTTTTAATCTTGTGAGTCAAGGTCGTTTGATTGTTTGTATAAATAAATATGGTTTTATTATATAGGGATATATATGTGCATATAGATATATACAATATATATATATATAATATTTATATAATATCCTATATGTGTAGCCACATGTGCGTTGTGTGCGATGTATTTAATGTTTTAGTTGTAAAAAATGATATCTTTTGATAATAATTTGTTAATAATAATAGTTTTTTGCACGAGTCATTATTGTATTTAGGATACATTTCTTAAATGTTCGTATAATTTTTTTTACGTGAAAAGTTAAAAAAATGTTACCGTAAAATTACAATGCTTGGGTACATTGTTGCAATTTTAAGGAGATATAAAAATTTATAGATGTGAAACATTGAAATGTCTGAGAGCCAGAAAAAGGAGCAAACGTATTCCAAGGCTGAACAAGGTGAAAGTATTCTCCTGATGTGTTACTGATTTGTTGCTGATACAAATTTGATTAATTTTGTAATGAGTGTTTTTGATTTTAAACGCCATGATCGTAGCTTCAGAGGCAGCTTTATAATCAACTTTCACAAATACGTAAGCATGCTTTACTTTACGACTTACGTGCAAGCAACACATTTTTGGTAGGCGCGTGTTGGGGATCAATTTGCATGCACTACAATGCGACAAATTATTACTAATTAATCTGACGGTAGCTGCTTTGCATGCCACCCAAAAAGTAATATTCCCGTTTTTAAGCATTTGTAAATAATTTTGGAAAGCTTTTTTATCGGAGATGTTTTTGTTGACGATGGTAAATGTATTTTTGGATGTACAAGACGGGACAGCGTGTTAGAATTTTAAAATTGAATTTAAAAAGTAATATGAAAACGTCAACATAATGACACAATAGTACATAATCGAATTTTAATTTTTAAAGTTTACAAAAGCTGGCACGCGAGTTCCCGCTTTGCAGCGGCGATAGAGGATTGCGCGGCTAAATATGCCCGCCAGCCACACCAACTCGAGGACGCCAAAAAGTTAACCCGTCGCATGATTGACAAAATTGTTGAAGAACTGGAAGCACATTCCATTTTTGTAACTCCGGAATATACCGGAAGTGCTTACGAAGGTTTAAAAGTGAATATAAGTTCACGTAAAGAGGCAAATCTGGAGATGGATGTCATGCTTGTCTGGGAGTTGAAAGATATCGATCTCACGGTAAGAAAGTTATCGCATTTACTATTTTATATAATTTTAAAATTGTTTATTTTTTATCTATTGTAGTTTCAATAAAATAAAAGATTTTTCAACGTTACTCTTCAACATGTTCTATATTGAATTCACACAAACAATTAGATAATGCCAACTTTCCTCCCTAACCACGTTCACGTTATTTTAAATTCAAACGTTAATGTGAAGCCTTCTTACATCGAAAGGATTCTCGTCAAAAATCGTTCTTCATCTCGTTACGTGTCTTACTTGTTTCCATCAGTTATGGTGAATGATTTCATGGAAAATATTAAATTTTGTCTCGCTAAAATGGAGAAAAAAAATTGGAACACAACAAACATCAAAAGCCACGGCCCAGCCATTCAAGTTGATGTCAATATACTGGTAAATTGTTTGCAAACACGTACACGCAAACACACACCACACATACACACACAAACTATATATATATATAATTTTAATATTATATATATATATATATATATATATATATACAATTTTTTGAACGATTAAAAACTTTTAATTTCAAAGTACCATAGAAAGATGACTTTTTCAGTGGACATTGTTCCGACGTTGAAACTGACCACTGGTGAATACTATGTCCATAAAACGGTCAATGTTTCCCAGCAACGTCTAATAGAACAAAACATAAGACATCTAGTATGGAGGAGATCTTTCAGTATCCAGGAGAAGACAGCAATTATGAACTTCGGTACTGAAAATCACAACCATAAAAAACTGTTGAGAGTTCTCAAAAGTTTTAGAAACCAAAACAGATATTTGGACCCATTAATGACGTATCATTTGAAAAATGTTTTATTGAATGTTTGCCACAGAGTCCCTAATGTCGCACTTTGGTCGGACCAATATGTGGGGTTCAGGTTTGTAGATTTGTTGCGGGAGTTAGCTTCTTGCCTAGAAAATGGTTGGCTTCCTTGTTTTTCTCAACCAGAGGTTAATTTGCTGATAGGAATGTCCAAAAACACCAGGTCAAGTCTCCGAAAAACATTTCAGGGTTTAGTTGAAGAAGAGGATTTGATGATGAACGCCTTGAGCGGGTTTGAGTGGGTCGTTTTTTCTTACCTATGAAACAATTTCATTTGAAATAGTTTAATATTTCACAGTACTTCAATTATAAAAAGTTTATAAAATGTTGCATGAATTTTATTGGTTAATTTATAGTTATGCGGTCGATATACATAGTTCTTCCAAAATACAACCAAAAATTTAAACAGAAGAATGAATAATATAATATTCCATTCAAAATACTGAAAATTGTACAAATTTTTTTATAAATTTTTTTGTCATTTTATCAAAAAATCTCCGTAGCTTGTTTAGACAACAATAACACCTAATAAGTTAAGTTAAGTTAAATATCAATATATAGCTAGAAAGAATTCGAACTTTGTGGTCATTTAAAAGTTCATAAAAATGAGTTCGCATGATCGTTTGCAAAGAAATGTAAAATAGATTTTCGGTTTCAAGTCACGCTATACCATTTCTTACAGTACCTACTTATAACTTATGACTTCTTATTCTGCCGCTGCTTACCTTACGTTACTTTAATTTTTAAAAGAAGCAGTACTATTTATTTGTAGTTAATTCATCGTTCGCTGTCTGCTGCACTGCTGCAATAAAAATCTCTCCACTCAATTTGCAATGAATTCTTCAAAGATTCCCTTGAAACCTCACAGTATTATGTAAAACCGTAACATTCACAACTACTAAATATAAATTTTTTTATACCTTTATTAGTTTTTTATACTTTTTTTTTTACCTTTAAAAATTCCTAAAAATGAAAAAAATTAAATATAATAAAATAATATAATAAAAAATAATATCTACTTATTTATCTCGTCTTATATTGAAAAAAGAACCTTTCCAAGCTTTTCAATGCTAGCGTTCAATACACGCCAATGCAATTTGAAATATATAATATAGATGGATAAAAAAGACCATAGTAGAGCGAGTTACAATAATCAATCCTAGATAAGACCAACGAAGTAACAAGAAGGAGAAGAGTAGGATCATCAAGAAAAGGCAAAAGTTTTTTTGTTCTACGTGGTTGAAAGTAAGAGCTTCTAGCAACACTATTGATCTGAGAGGAAAGAGACATACTAGAATCAAAGATAAAACCTAGACTACGAAACTTGTGAGAGACATCAAGAGTTTTAGAATCAGGTAAGATAATAGGAAGAATAGTAATAGAGTGTTTAGATTTATTAAAACAAATTAATTCAAACTTAGAAGGATTAAGTTTAAGACACATAGAGTCAGACCAAGCGATAATTGCAGAAAGACATAGAGATAGATTATGAAGAACATTATTGAGATTAGATGGAGGAAAAGAAGTATACATATAAGAATCATTAGCATATAATTGACTAGAGAAAGAAAAGTTGTTAATAATACGAGGTAGTTACCCCATCCTTAATAAATGAATAACACCCAATGTTACGAAAGTCTTAAAAAATATTTACCGGTATAAGAGAATGATTAATTGCATAAATGTCATTAAAATAAAACGTATTTTTTAAATTAATTACTACTCATTAAAATTATAAATTATACTTTAATAAAGAAATGTTATGTTGGGCTTTTGTGTGGTGCTTAACCCATTAATGCCGGCCGTACTCATTTGAGTACGCCTCTTGAATTTGGCATCAATTAAAATGGGAGGTGTTTTAAAGATAATTATCTTGCTACATCCTGGTAATGCATACCATTTAACTAGTAGTGAGTGTAATTTAGACATTTTTGTGCATGTGTTTGATGTGACGAAGCTTAGAAGTTGGCGATTTTTTCATAGTGACAGAGCTACTTTTGCAAATTTTTTTTCTGTTAAAAAAATTTTAAAATTTTTTAATTTTATTTTAAAAACAAGAAGTCTTTGGATTAATCTTTATGTTAGTAACATTATTTTGAATATTAATTTGATATAAAGTAATTTACAAACACAAACATCTTACTGTCCTCGTACGGGGACGTTAGGCACAAATGAATTTATTATGGTTAACTTTTTGATTTTACCTCAGACGTGAATAACATGGATCCTAAATCCTTTTATGGCACTAAAACTTTTCAAAAATTAGAAGAAGCCTTGGAAGAGATAGAAAGTGATAATTTTGAAACGATTGGCAGTATTGATTTGTGTGTCCTTCCTCCAGATTTGGACGAATTGACAGATGCCGAAGAAATTGATGATGACAATATAATTGATCCTCATTATGTTTCAAAAGACATTTCAGGAACTATACAAATATCTGTTGATTTGAATAACGAACCGGATAACGAAAACGAACCTGATCAAATATCTGAAGGTTTATATAAACAATATACTACATTCGAAAAACCCAAATGGACAAAATCAGATTTTTCGTCAGCATCACCTAGTACAAGTAATTCGTTTGATGAAGACCTACAAAAAATCAAAGACAACCTTAAAGATTTGTCTTCAAGACAAATTTTTGAAAAATTTCTTTCCATGGATATTACTAATTACATATGCCATTAATCCATCATTTATGCACGACAAAAAAATAACCACTCATTTACAATAGAACCAGAGGAACTACGAACTTTTTTAGCAATCTTATATTTTACTGGATACAATCCATTGCCAAGAGAGCGTTTATATTGGTCACTAGATGAAGATCTCGGAGTCTCATGTGTTTATAATGCTATGAGTCGAGACAGGTATCTGGAAATAAAGAGATTTCTTCATTTGGCTGATAATTCCAAAATTGCAGATTCTAATGACCGCATGTATAAAATTAGACCGTTGTCAGACAAGTTGCAAGAAAACTTTTGTCAATGGGGATGTTTTCGTAAAGACATTTCCATTGACGAATCTATGGTAAAATATTATGGACATCATCCAGCAAAACAGTTCATTAAAGGTAAGCCCGTGAGATTCGGGTATAAAAACTGGATGATAGCTAGCTCCAGTGGATACTGCTATGGTTTCGATGTTTATTGTGGAAAAAAAACCAAATGAAACTGAAGACACCAAAGCATTACCACTAGGAGCTAAAGTTGTGTTGGACCTTCTAAAACATTTACCAGAACCATCAAGAAATAATATCTATTTCGATAATTATTTCACTAGTTACGCATTGATGGTGTACCTAAAGAAAAAATATATAAATGCCACAGGGACAGTCAGAGAAAATCGAACGCAGAAATGTCCATTGATGGAATCAAAAGAAATTAAGAAAATGACAAGAGGGTCTTATGACTTCAAATTTGATAAAGCAAATGGCATTTTATGTGTAAAATGGTATGACAACAGTGCTTGTAGCATGTTGTCTAACTGGGATTCAATCAAACCACTGAACAATGTAAAGAGATGGTCAAGAACAACCAAATCTAAAGAAAACATTCTTCAGCCGAAATTGTTCGCATCTTACAATTCTGGAATGGGAGGAGTAGATAACCATGATCAATGCTTATCCCTATATCGAATAAGCGTAAAAAGGAAAAAGTGGTGGTGGGTTTTATTTACGTACTTTTTAGACATGGCAATGACCAATGCTTGGAAAATTCAGCAAATAACTTCTGAGAATGTAATGGACCAACTCGAGTTTCGTCGCCATATAGTACGTGGCTATTTGAGAGACGGTGCGGCGAGTAGAGCCAGTAGAAAGAGAAAAGCCGGATCCAGTATTAAAACCACAGTAGGATTTCACTTCCCTGGAAAATTGGAAAAACAACTAAAGTGTACTTTTTGCCACATGAAAGCTAGATGGATGTGTAAAAAATGTGGCAAAACACTATGCATCGAAAAGGGGTGTTTCGAAAAGTATCATCTCGCATCTGCCTAACGTCCCCATTTGAGGACGCCTTTATAACGTTATACTTAAATAAATTTTTTAAATTTTTTTTGAATAAACATATTAAATATACTTCATATTTTACAATTTTGCACAATTTGATGTTTTTCATTCAGTAGTTTTGTTTTAGGCGTAAATGGGTTAAACTTCCAATGGTGCCGATCTGAATTCAGCAAATGATCATGAAACAGTTTGTGACTGGCACTCCGCAACGTAGATTGGATCACCCCTCGGAGTTACTTCACTGACTTTTACTTCACACCCATATTCGCAGGATACATCCTTCAGTGAGTTTATTGAGGAAGAAATATTAAATTTCGGGATTTCGGAATTAAGTGGGATTCGGGAAGTTGCATGAATTTTAATTAATTTACATTAATTTTTTTATGTTTAAATTGTCTGTTTTATCGATTTTTTGTGATTTATACGAAAAACAAAGAAATTATCATAGAGTTATTAACTAAAATAAATGTATTTCTACTTTTATAATGACACTAATCTTAATCAATACTCTCAAAGTGAAAAACCTTTTGAAAAACAGAAATGTCATTTCAAATTGTCAAACGCGTCAAATTTGACTTGAATGAATGAGAACTTCACAAACACAGATTTCAATCAAATTTAAAAATGAATTTAATAATTTAAAAAAAGGAAAGAAAGGAAAAGTAGAAAACAGAAAAAAACACTTACTGCACAGGGATCGAAGCATTCACATGTGAGACATTGATTTTCATCAACTTCCAAGTACATTCCTTCAGGGCATTTATCACACATGGGCGCTAACAGACATCCCTCATAGTTTTCACCGTACACATCTTTTTTTTCAATTCAAACATTCCAATAAAATTATTAGTATTATTTATACAGCAACTGTAAAAACAGCAATATGTATAATTATTATTATCAATTCGATTTTTTTAAATACTGTTAATCATAATCACAGTGATAGAATTTGTAGTAGCTAATGTAATGAGCAGTGAGTAAGAAATAGTTTGTCGATGGTGGTAATATTTTCGAGGATTGGTGTTTCCGTATATAGCTGGAATGTATCATGAATATTAAAACATGACGTGCTTTATTTTGCTTTCTTCTTTCTAGTTCTTCTCAGTAGTTTCAACTACAAACATACATTATGTGTGAATAAATACAAATGAATGAACGCATCGCACAAACACATTGCACGTGGTATGTGAGAATTTATATGCATTCAAATTCACAATGTCAGGCACCTTTACCATTATTCCATAGAACCACACCACCCAAAAAAATTAATAAAAATATAAATCTTTTAAACAATTTAAATTAAAAACATGTTAAATTTTTCGTTTCAATACTACAATAACTGACCGTTGTAAGCACTTAAAACGTCGTTATCCTCATTGCCGAAACGCAACGCCGCACTAGTGAACGCCAATATTAGCAAAACAGTTACAGGATTCATCATACAATGATCGAAAAATTAGTTAACTATTTATTTAGTATATTGTTATATCTATTCTGTCTTAATATAGATTGGAAATTTGAACTAAAATCTAATTTCAAGTTTGGTATAGCTCGATTTAATGCATCATTGCACATTGCACAAACATATAAATTTCGAATAAACATCATATGTTACCGACACACACACACACACACACACACACACACACACACACACACACACACACACACACACACACACACACACACACACACACACACACACACACACACACACACACACACACACACACACACACACACACACACACACACACACACACACACACACACACACACACACTACCATCCATCTATAAATATCTATTCAAATATATATGGTTATGAAGAAAGAATAATAAATATTTTTCGAATTGAAGAAATGAAAAAATCAGTATTTTATTTTAAAGATTTTTATAAATAATTTCATTTGACTTTCAATAGAACTGAAAATAAGCATCTTTGCAAAAGTTTTAGATTAAAATTAAGTTAACTTAGGAACACAATTTCATTATAAAGTTCAAACTTATAGGAAGATGTATGTAGGAAGAGTGAACTGAACATGTTAAAATGCAGCAACCAAAATTCATTCATCCGTGTAACAGATGTTATTGAAGATAAATTTGTTAACGACTTAGAAGGAGAGTCCTTATTGATGTTAATATTTTCATTGTCGTCATCTTCCTCGTCGTCATCCTCTCTGTAAAACTGTATTTTTCAAAAAATAAGATAATTTTGTTTGGAAATGATTAGGGGGTTTTAACTATTAAGCTTCCTGCCAAGAAAAAGAACTTCTTACAAAAACTAATGACGGGAAGACCCTATATAAAATTAACTTGACTGACAAAAAATGTTTGAAACGTAATACAATTACCAACATGTTGAAACGCAAAATTAAATGTCTGTGAACATTTTTCATTAAAAAAAGTAACAACCGAGAGGAAAGCTTTGAAAAAATTATTAGAAGATATTATAAACTCACTACAATTTGTGGCTCGTTTTAGCTCGTCTCACACGGACAGAGAAGAGCCAACGTTTCGTGCAGTTGCCTGTTACAAATGAAAAAATTTTATTGATTGATTATATTTATCATGCATTCGATAATAAAGGAAAGATGTTTTAAGATTGATTGATATGTTTGTTTTTGTTTTTAATTTATTTAATTTTAAATTTCATGTTCATAGGCTTAAAAAACAAACTTATTTTTTATATCTTACACCGACTCATCAGCAAGAACGCCATGAAAATAATAAATAATCAGAGATTATTGAACAATAAAATTATAAACTTAAAATATAATAAAAATATATATAATGTGTTATATCGTATAAAACTTAAATGAAGTATATAATGAAGATGTATTTAAAAATTATCTACGATGCTTGGTGATCTTCGCTGATCACGTGACCCGTCATAATTTTTAAAATGGTGGTTATGCAGATTTTAGTTTGTTATTCTGCACATTCGCAAATTTAAATTCATCGGGCGTTCATTAAAGATTTTTAATTTAATTGAAGCAAATTTTCAGTTATTGATAAGTAGAAGTTTGATTCTCGTTTGCTCTATTATTTTAATAAATCAGATAATTTATACATCTACTTTGAAGTTTGAACTTTTAAATTTTTTAAATTTAAAAAATAAATTAGGTGCAAAATTTCAATTCAATTATGCTGCTGCTGACATTAAAATTAACAATTTGAAAAATCTATCCTGTTCAGAAATGGATCCGGACTCCATTAACACAGGAGACCTTCACAAACAACATCATAGAGTGACTGCCAACAAATCTGAAGAAAATGTAGCAATTGAAGATGTTAAAAAGCAGGATGAAAATAAATTCGGCAGCACAGTTCAAGAAACATTAACAACATCCACAATTTCATCAAATGATGCTACACTTGCATCTAACCATAATGAAGATGTTGAAGTCAAATCGGATCAAGAAGCTCTAAAAACAGGTCTAACAAATCTAGCAAATGACTCAACCACAGTGATAACCACAGCGGTTGGGCCAATAACAGGAGATGATAACACAAAGTTTGACCACAATTCAGGTGCACTGAGTGAACTTGCATCGGGGAGCCTAGCTACATGTTCATCAATTTTAGAAGTTGGGAAAGATGATGTATCTAAACAGAGGAATATAAATAATTTAGCTCACACTAAGATCAAACTCTATTTTGCAAGCGATAAATATCCTAAAAGCCTTTTAGATCAGAGAAAGCTTTCAAAACTTCCTAATGGTCCCAATGATTTGGATCAACACAAGATTGTCAGCACAGCATATTCTGAACTCACTAGCAAACCAACGTCGTCTGTATCTAGATTGGTCTCTCAGGAAATGAAGTTCTTAAATAGCAAGTCATCTAGCTGTGATTCTTCTAAAACATTCTGTCACTCAAAGTCAATAGTGAAACCAGAACCTTCAGATTTTTGTAAAGTTTATAGTCAAGAAAATTGTTTGGGTGCACCTAATAATGTCTATTCCAAATCTCCAAGGAGGTCTTATGCTGCTAGAAAGTCAGTGATTGAATTGAAGAGTAAGTCATTAGACCCACCTCCATCATCAAGTCTTGAAAATGATATTCTTAGGGGTTAATATTTATTTATCTATATTATTTTATTTATGAACTTTTATAATATAGAGGGTATTTGTATAAAGTTGTTATTATTATATATATATATTTTTGCTTTTATGGTTTTTTTACCATAACCAGACATAAACCTCATATTTATCCTGCTTGTGTTTATAAATATTCAAGTACTTTTAAACAAAGCTTTGATCCATAACAATTTGAAGTTTATACCTGTTTTGTTGTTTTGCAGACATGCAATCATTTTTTCATACCATTGTTTGTTGCAACATTTGAATTGGCTAGTGCAAATCTTTTCATTATCATTCAGATACTATTAACCATTTTTATATTTTATGAAGTTTTCATGATACATGATAGCTTTATTTATAGCTTTTATTGATAAACTTGCTTATATCAACACCACTGTGAATTGTTCAAATTTTTCCAATTATAGAAATTGAATCAGCAACTATAGCATTCCAGCAACAACAACAGCAACAACAGCAGCAACAAGCAACAGCAAAATCCCAGAAGCACAAATCTCTCACCTCAGCAGCTACCACCACAACTTCAAGCATCACCAATTCCTCAGCCTCAACAACTTGCTACCTTCATCCATTCTCCCTGAAAAGGAGAGAAAGTGAAACAGCTGTCCTCTCGTCGGCTGATGCAAACTGGCTTCGTAGAATTTCCGAAAGTCCCTATGCCAACAAGTCGTCGTCATCGTCGCCACACAGCATGTCACCAACGTCATTGTCATCTGCCATCCCTGCTACTATTAATACTGCTACTGCTGCTGCTGCTCAAAATAACTGTGTGTTCATTTTGAAATTTGTATCTTAAGAATTTTTTTCTATAATCTGTGAATATAATTTGATAATTTAGTAATATTTTGATTGACATTATATCATAAATTAAAATATCATAAATATTATACTTGTAAATCTTATATGGATTTTTATGTTCAACGATAAAGTAATTGTTCTTTTGTTGTAATGCATTTTAAAACTTTCTCTAATTGGTTTTTTTTCACTTTACAGCTGAAACAAATACGGGGTGAGTTTTATTTAATCATCATCTCTGTTATAATTATTTTTATTATATTATATTTAACAATTTTTTTGGTTCACATGTTTTTATTTCTTTTTACGTAAAATTTCTTTTTTTTTAGAAATTTGTTTAAGATATTGGTAATAATTTTAACTGGCTTATTATTATTAAAATGAAATATTTGTTATTCACATTTCATCTAAGCAAATCCTCTTGCCTTTCAGAGCTGATTTATGGATGTTTATATATTCTTGTTTGTTTACGGTATATTGTTATAACTGTGGGAATGGTGGAATTACGCTGTAGTTAATTATTGTTATCTTGTTATATTTGTTATCTTTGTTATTTGTCAATCGAGTGTAAACCATAGAATCTTTTTATACCATAGAGGATTGTAAAGATCTACTGTAGAACGTGTTTAAAGTTTATAATATTGGTGTTGGTAGTAACAAGCCTTAAAGTTTACGGCAATATATTTTTCTTCATTGTTGTGGCTGATATTTTTATAAGATATTTTTAGGATCTCATAACTACTTCTTTCATCGTCATAGGTGTTATCATTTTCTTTTTTTTATATCAACAGCATCACATTTATTTACATCATCTTCATGTTCAATGTCATTATTTTTACCATTGTTATCACCATTATATTTATCTTCATTTTTATATTCATAATGCTCATCATTTTTTCCTCATTATCACCATTCTCAACATCACACTCACCATCATCAATCAAACAGGACGCCTCAATCATTGAAGAATGTCAATATACAGAAGCTGAAGGCTTTCTTCGGAGAGACAGTAGGTTTATAAAAATAGATCAAAAATTTTATTTGCAATTTAAGTTGCCAGTTTAATTAACACAAATAAATCATTGAAATTTATTTATTTTCTTATGTACATCCAATATAAAATGTTTAATTATACAACTGAAGGGATTGGCATGTGGGTGTATGTAATTATCTCAAAATGATTTTTTTTCCAACAACATTTAGACCCCAAGAATAATAGAGGGAAAGGCATTGTCTAGATTTCAGTCATGTTCTATTGCCAAGGATGATTCCAGCATAGATCCATTCACTGCAGATTTTAAAGTTTGCTATTTTAATGTTTACAATATGTTGTCTTATTACTATTATTCAGTTGGCATGTATGTGTTTATTTTAATCATATAAACCTGATGATATGGTTTTAAATTGAATATTGAAATGTCTAAAGTATTAATAAATATATACAATGTGACTGTTAAAAGTTTTTGTGAATCTTGATGGATCTGAAATTTAAATTCTTGAGCTTCAATAAGAAAGGTCTTAGATGATATATTAATAATACTAGAACATTTAGAGAAAGATATGTTCATGGTTTATATTGGAATGATTACTTTCTAAAAGTTTCTCAAAATTAATTAAGGTCTTCATTAACATATTCTCATGTATTTCTATTTCACATTAACATCACAAAATCCCACCTACCTATACCTAGCAGAGATTTGATCAACAGCAGCTACAGCAGCAACATCAGCAACCAGAAAACTTGAGCACCACAGGCAGGTGTTCCAGTGTCAGCAGTTCCTCGTTCAACCCGACAGACTGGGCCCTTGAAAAAATGTCGAGGAGCAGACGGTCCGGGGGTGCCTGGGGCCCATTGGTTAGGAGTGGCCAGCAACAGCAACAGGATTATCAGTCTCCCTCTGGCAGAGTCAACAAGAAAGGAAGTAGGGACAAAAGCTTTTTGTTTTTTTTTTAAATTGCTTATGCTTTTGTTTTTTTGTTGCTTTTAACTTGTTTTTTTATTTTAATTTTAATATGTTATGTTTTTTGTTTAAGATTTTTTTCTTAGTTTTCTAGCAAAAACACAGTTTTTAGTATATAGGGATTGATTCTGATTTTAAAAAGGCTAATTTTTAAGTTTTTTACACAATGAAATCAATTCTTTTGGTTTCATTTTGTTTTATTCCGCAGTATTAGTTAGTTCTTTATTTGTATTTTTAAATTTTATCGTTTTTCAGGTATTTAAATAATTTAATTATTTAATTAATCTATCAGTTACCCAATAAATTCACATTTATAAATTTTGTTTTTTTTTTACTTCAGATTCAAGCTATTCGCCAAAGCAATGCCAAAAAGAACACAAAACATGGAAAGGGAAGATGGTGCAGACATTGAAAAGGTATGTGGTTGTGTGTGTTTGTTTGTTTGTGTGTGTTGACGTGTGTTTTTTAATTATTTTGTTACTGTATATGACTTGCAAGTTTGTGCCCGTTGCTCCTTATTTTTTTTGTATGATTGTTCTTTAGCTGTCTAAAATTTTTTTTAATTTAAAATGTTCATATTATTTTTTATTTGTTATTTATTCATTGTCAGTCATCTGTGTGATATTATTTTTTATTAATTTTGTGGTCATTGGCGTTGTTGTTTTTGTCATTCTTGTTTTTGTTTGCTGTACTGTAGTATTCCAAACGGCAACCCCTGATCTCGGGGAAAATGCCGTCTAAACGTGTGTTGTTGTACTGTAGTATTTCAAATCGTTGCACAGTTTGTTGAATACATTCATTTGCAAATTTCACACCTAGAATGAATACTCAAATGATAAATTGTTGCAGGTATGGTTCAGGAACCACTCCTTCTGATTCAACATCTTCAGAGGAATATGTAGGTGCCATGGGAGTTCCTTTGGAACACTGCATTTCGTCGTTCGCTAATGAAGTTAGTTTAATATTCTGCTGATAATGGTGATGGTGATTTTGAATTTTCTTCCTCATCTATCATCATTCATTTTATATCATTTTCATTTTGGTTCTTTACTATCGTATCATCATCATCTTTGCCATCATCCCATCCATACCATACCTGTGATGAAATGAACCGTCTTTGATCCACACACTCATTCACATGCATCATTATTATTGTATTTAATTAATAATTATTGCAATGACGATCACACACTTGCATAAACAAATACACGCACGCACACTCGCACACATATTTACACAAATGCCCACTTGCACATCACACAGTACGTGCCTTTGATAGTTGAGACATGCACACGAATTGTTGAAGAGAAGGGCTTGGAAAGTGTTGGCGTCTATAGGGTCCCTGGAAATTCAGGGGCTGTTAATGCTCTCATTGAGGAGTTAAACAAGGTTTTTATGTGATTCATAAAGTAAGAGTGCTACGCTGTGATGCGGTTTGAATGCAAAAGAATCCAGACTTTTACTTGTATGATGTGTTGTTACCATACATTTTGTTGCCTTGCATGTTATTTTCATTTGATGCTGGTTCTTTGAATACAAAAATAAAATTCAAAAGACCAATTTGTAAGATAATAATTTTTACATTAGAAATTAACTAAGTGTTTAGAGCTTAATTGTTTTGGTGATCCACTTGATAAAGGCCTTATCGAGTGATGCGAAGTGTCTGGATGATTTTTTAAATAGAAAATATCTGTGTTGTTTGTTTGTACTGGCAAAAAATAAATATATTTTTTGTGTTGTTTGCTCTGTAGAATATTATCTTATATAGTTTGTTGTTTAAATATTATATGTAATCATTTGTTCTTTTGTGCTAACCACTAATGCAAAGTAATTTGTAATGATAATAATGCTTAAAAAGATTAAATTTTAATACCTTAATATGAATTCTATATTAACTTGAATGAAAGAAGGTCGGGTTATCAAAAAATGTTAACTTTTTATGACTTGAGTTATTCTTGAACCTGACTTAAATTAGAACTAGATGACCATTATCCTGATTTTACTAACTACATTTTTGATGTAAACAATAACAATGCCTTGACCTAAATAATGGCCACCTTGACCTTAATAACCAGGATCCAGATGGCCTGTGTCTGGAGAATGAAAAGTGGCAGGACGTTAATCTTGTCAGCAGTCTGCTCAAGTTGTTCTTCAGAAAGTTACCAGACTCTTTAATCACTGATGGTGAGTTTTGATAACGATGATGATGGCGCTGATGATGATGATGATAATGATGGTGAGTGATGACTACGATGATGATAATAATGATTACCATAACGATTTGAGCAACAATTTGAGCAATGATTGTTGGACTGAAGATGATGATGAAAATAACGACTATTGATCAATTATAATGATAACAATGAAGTTGTAATCACCATAATTTATAATAATAATATTTGATGACGTATAAACGATGATGATGACGACCAACAGATTTATACGACGCCATAATTGCCGCCAATCGAATTGAGAATGCCGAGAGACGGATGCTGAAGATGAAGAAACTCATCCACGAGCTACCTGAACATAACTTCGAGACACTCAGGTTGCAGATGAGTATTTTACATCACATTTCGTTGTTATTACTACTTCTACTTTCTACTACTCCTGTTACCTTTGCCACTATTAGTATGACTACTACTGCTACTACTACCATTCTTACTGCTATTACTACTTGCTGCTGCTGCTACTACTACTACTACTACTACCACTACTACTACTACTACTACTACTACTACTACTACTACTACTACTACTACTACTACTGTGGCTACTATCCTTGCTCTACTGTTATTACCGCTTTTGCTGAAAACTTCTTTACATACTGCTGTTACTAACATTGTTATTACTATTTCAACTACTATAAAACTTATTACTAATGTAGTATTAATAATTTTTTTTTATATTCGAATCTTCTTAGGTTCATTGCTCAGCATTTGAACAGGGTTGCTAGTAGAGAGGAGATTAATAAAGTTTGTCTCATAAAATTTATTTATGTTGTGTTAATTGTTTTCGCATCTTATGTGTTTCTAAGAAACATCAACGGCGCATGCGGCTTATGTGAATGTGATGTGATGTATCTATTTTAATGTCATTTCACACGCACACTGACACACACACACTGACACACACACACACACACACACACGCACACACAGATGGATGCACACAACCTTGCAATAGTATTTGGTCCTACCCTGGTTCGACCACAGGAGGACAGCATGGTCATCATGGTCAGAGATATGACCGACCAGTGTAAGGTCATTGAAAGTATCATCACGCATGTAAGTTTTTGAATGTGTGTGAATATGTGTGTTTGTGTGTGTCGATACTTCAGACTTCATCCTTTCTTTTGTCTCCATCATATAGTCTATTATACATTCATTTTTCTCTCATCCATTCATTTATTTAGTTATTCATTCTCTCAATCAATCAATCATTCATTCAATCGATAATTCATTCATTCATTTGCTTATCATTCATTCGTTCGTTTATATTAATTATTCTCTCTATCAATCACTACTACTATTACTACTACTACTATTACTACCGCAGTGTGACTGGTACTTCAGTTCCTGGGATGAGGATGTATACGTACCAGTCGATGATGACGACGACGAAGTCCTCCCTATATCAACCATGAACACCGAGCTACTTGCCAAAGCTGAGAGATTAGGTTCGTGATGATGACGTCACAGATGATGATGATGATGATGACGTCGTAGGTAGTGATGGCGTTGTTGTGTAGCTGACAATGACGATGATATTGCTATGCTGATGATGTTGTTCTGACAAAGTTACTGATGATTATAACTATAAATGAGGATGATGATGCGATTATAATTGTGATGGAGTTGATGGTGTTATAATGTAGATGATGATGGTGATAATGATGTTCTGCGATGGTGAATGATAAATAATTGCAATAGATGATGATGGTGATGGCGTTTTTGATGAGTGTTAAGATGTTGAATAAAGTTATTGAAGTTGTTTGTTGCTGTGTTGGTGTTTATTGCTCTTGTTTTAAATATATTTCATGCATATCAATCATTAAATGTCGGTTCACATTTTAAAAAATATTGTTGAATTAACTCTTCATTTAAAATAATTTTTATCTCCAAATTTGCTGACAATGAACAGACAAGAGGAGCAGTCTATCGTTTTAAAATGTGTGTTGTAGTCATTGTTGTTGCTGTTTTGTAGATTTTTCTAGTTAATTGTTAATAATGCATGCTTCTTAAATGTGCGTGCGCGTGTGTGTGTGCGCGCGCGTGTGTGTATGTGTGTGCGTGCCTGTATCTCTAATGTCCTGCATGTTTCTATGATGATGAATTAATTAATGTCTCTTTACTAATTTTTATTTTTAATGGTTTTTTTTAATCAATAATTTTTTTTTCATAATTATTTATCCTTAAATTTGTGTGTTTGTGTGTGTGTTTTTATTTATAGTTTTATATACGTTAGGAATTTGTTATTTTTATGTTCTAGCAGTTTTACTGATTCATGGTATAAAATAATTGTTGTCCGCACGTGAGGCTAATAAAAATGTGTGATTTACTTGAATATTTAACGTTGTTTTGATGTGATATGGGTAGTTAATTCATTCAGATTTTTTTTTGTTTTTAACAATATTATATATTGTTTAAATGCTTTGTGTTGCTAAGATCATTTTTTAAATGCAGCGAGCTGTTAAGTTATTAATTACTCAATAATTTTTTCGTTTATCATTAAATATTTTTGTTTTTTTTTTCATTGAACAACTTTGTTTATTGCATGTGTGTTAACATGAATGAATGTTTTGACGTAATATTTACGTTTTTTCTTTAATAAATTGAAATTAAAAATGAATAAATTTTCACTCACCACAGATAGCAAAGCCACGCGAGCACACAGAGGTCTGGTGAAGAATTTATTATTAGCAGCCAATCAAAAACTCCGTAATAGATCAACTAACATCTCATTGGTCGTGAACATCGGTGACAAGAGGAAAAAAGACAAGCTGTTGCATAGAAGCAAGAATAATCCTGATGACGATCCTAAGAATAATGAAAGTGCTGATGATGATTTGGGTACTAAGAAGGATGATGATGATGATGATGATTGCTCGTGCCCTAGGAAGAAAAAGTTGCTTTCCTATAATAAAAAATTAACTTTCAGTAAAGTGATAAAATCTAGAACTCCTGCTACTACTTATAATGATACTGCTACTAATACTACTACGACTGCTACTACTGCTGTCCGTACCGTTCTTGTTGCTACTTCAACTAAAGGTTCTGCCTGCTCTGTTTCAAATAATGATAATACTAAAGACAACAGCAACAACGATACCAACACATTCATCAGTGCTGCCTCCATTTGCCATAATCTTTCCACCCCCACCACCACCACTGATAACAGTGCAGATGACATTGCACGGAAAATTCATAAATTCCAGAAAAAAATTCTTCCTCACAAGAACTCAAAACAATCTACATCCTCACCCAACAACTGCAAAAAACACAAACTAAAAAAATCTATTTGGAATTCCCGGAATGTTAAAAATAGACACATGACATCTAGCCTATCATCTGCAGCTATCTTATCTATGAATGCTGATAGCAAGAAACTTTCAAAATTTAAATCTCCTGCCAAAATGAGTAGGTCTGTATCCTCTTCAAATGCACTTGAGGGCACTTTCTTTCCAGGGCAGCAGGTTTTCGGAGATAAACTGAAACTAAATTACGAAAGTAGGATCAGCAATAATAAAAGTATATTTTCATCATTTCCTGGATTTTCCCAAACCAAATATAGAAACAGTCTGATCAAGGGTATCAAAAGAGGCAAAAATAGTTCAATCAATAACGAGATAGACCAAGATAAACATAAAGTGAAAGTTAGTAAGAGTTTAGTGTTTAGCAATAGTGCTACTGTTGTTACTAATACTACTACTAATAGTAATAATTGTAATGTTAATAATAAAACTAGCAGTGGTTTTTTTAGTAAAATTAATCACAATGATGACGACGACGACGATGATAATGACGATGATGTTTTTAATGATAAGAAAAATGAATTAAGTTCTACTGCCGATAATAACAATACCTGTTTTAGCAGCAATGCAAATGATTCTTATAAATTAGACTCTGGCATATCATCATCTTTTGGTAACATTTTGAGAGTTAAGAGCGACTATAATGATAACATTAACAACAACAGCAAAAGTGTCCACAGCAGCCATACTACTAACACTAATAAAGAAGCGGTCAGTCTTAATAATGATTCCTCCGATGATAATGTCGACTCGCACTCTTCTCATCTTCATCTTCCTACTCTTCCTCACCATCACTTTTCTAATCATCATCTACCTCATCATCGCCAACATCATCACCTCTTCAGACCGCAGAGTAAGATGAGTGAAAAAGAGAATAAGATGCTGGATGTTCTATACGAAGACAGCCACAGTTGATTTATGCATTTATCTTCTGCATTGGTTTTTATGCATGTCTACAGCTAATATTATTTCATTTATTTACATTTTCTTTTCAATTTTGTTTATTTTTTGTCATTTTCGTCATCAAATTTTATTACTTTTTCATGTTCTTTGTCAATCTGTATTGTATTGTTATACTGTATATTTTTTTCATATCATCGTTAGCTTCTTTTATTGTCATCATCACCTTTATAATATTATTATTACCTCTTGAATCATTGCTACCTTTGTTAAGTTGTTAAGTTGGAGAGTTTATCTGGAAGCTATGTAGTTATATCATGTAATCACGTAAATGATTGTGATGATAACGACCATAGTGATGATAACAACCATAGTGTTGATAACGATTATAGAGATGATGATTTCTACTAGTATACAGTTGATGATGTTTACGAAGAGTGATGAACCCTGGACATGTGATATTGACGATTACGATAAACACCGTACATAGGTAATGATGATGAGGGTGAATGGCGACGGATGACGATGATGATGATGATGATAGCAACAAATAATGATGATGGTGATTCATTCAATCACTGATAATGAAGATGATTAGTGATTTGAGTTAGGATTTTTTTCCAGGTTAGGCATTAAGAATAACTAAAGCGTTTGACCTGTTCTAAATAAATTTTATGCTGAATATATATATATATAATGAAAGAAAAAGTTATAGAATTATCTTAGAATTACTATTAGCAATGAGTGACAACAATGATGATA